TTCCCCCTGCGAGATAACCTCCCATGATGACCCTATGCTAGTTGTCATTTTTCAGGTTAGCAAAATCTCCTTTGGATCAAGAGTTTTCTTGGGCAAACCTCGAGATATTAACTAAGTAGGATATATCCCCTTAGGAGCATTCATGGCCCCAGAACAAACACATACACCTAAATCTTTTGTTATGGATAGTCTAAGTAGATATTCTTTCGCGGATATCGGTTTAAGGTGTTTTCGCCCGATCTTGTTTGGGCGAACGCTCTTAACCTATCCTTACGAGGTTTGTCGCACGTAGGCTCTCCACGTTTTGTGTTTTCTCTTGTTTGTCGCTTTGTCGTATATCATTTTTTATTCGGTTCCTCCCCTCTTCGAATCACCAATTTGATTCAGAATGAAGATTTATTCGAATGGGGGAAGTATACAACGATCGACGGGCTGGCGACTCCTAAAATAAAAAAAGAAAAAAAAACAAACAAAAACACTCAAATTGCAACTCTTCCTTCGTGCAGTAGTCGTGATTCCAAGCTAGTTTAGAAGACGAGCCCACAACTACCAAACAATTGCGATTTGAGTTACCTGGCAAGCCACGATCGAATTGGAGTGATCCTGGATCACCGACTTGCGAAACAGTAGCTTGATTTGTCTCATCTGGAACAGACTGCGAATTTCAACATAAAAAGTTGTATTTTGTGAAAAAAAAAATCTGAGAAGAATGACAGCCAAGAAAATAGATAATTCATAGAAGAAATTAGAGGAAGAGATCAGTCAAATCAAATCTACGATGGAAGAAATGTTTACCACCATAGAGGATAGGTTTACTTCTATGGAGAACTGAATGGAGCACAAATTTGAGAGCATGGGGAAATTTGAGAGACGATAAAGAAACTCGTTGAGATGCATTACAAGACCCCACCGACAGCTCAATTTATAAAACCTAAAGGAAAAGAGATCGAACGTAGGTAACATGAGAAGAAAAACTTCCACCATCACAACCCCGTTCTAGAGCTCTAATTTATGGTAGATTAGAGATTTATGATGAAAGCGATTGAGCCGAAACATGAAGAAGATATTATTCAAAAGGTATTGAGGAGCACTATAAAGAAAAAAGAGAAGCAGGAAGAGGAAACGATTGTGACTGAAGGAGGGAGTTTTACCCTAAATATATGAGGGGAAACAACGGAGGGAGAGGAAGTTGGGGCAAATATGCTAGGGTTAAAAAGTTGAAGATACCGATCTTTGAGGGTGAAAACATAGTTATGTGGGTATATCGTGTGGGGAGATACTTCGTAGGGAATGGGCTAGATGGGAAGGAGAAGCTCATGGCAGCAAGAATATGTTTGGAGGGGAAAGCCCTAGACTTATTTCAGTGGAGGGAGACCACCGTTGGTGAGATGAATTTAAGGATTATTTGTTGGAACATTTTTTAGTCATTCAAGAATGAGACCAACATGAGAAATTCTATGTCTTGACTCGGGGAGAGATGATCATGGAATATAGGGAGATTTAAACTATTGTCGAGACAACTGTGTGGAGCTTTTGAAGTGGGGATGGAGGGAAATTTCATGAAGGGCTTAAAGTCTAATATACGAACAACACTCCAACTATCGAGACCGCAGGGATTGAGGGGGAAGATAAAGCTAGCCCAAATGGTGGAGGACAAGAACCAAATGGGGAAGGTCGACAAAAGCAACATAGATGGAGCGTAATACCACATGGCTACAACCACGGCGATACCAAAAACTCAAACAGTAGAATTCTAGATGGAGGCTACACGGGACAAAAATAATGAGCCACGATCGGGAGCGACACTCAAGCACCTTGCAAAGACAAATTCTAGAGAAAAGAACCAATGGATTATATTTTTGGTGTGATGAGAAGTTTACTCCATGACACCGTTGTAAGGATGAAAAATTACAAGTTCTTATAATGCGTGACGAGGAGGTAGAGGATGAAGAAATAGAGAGAGACAGTTGTGATGGAGGAAGAACGCTCATTTTTCCACCTTAAGAGAGTAGGTCTTTTGGGAGGAGTATTGTTACGTTGGTACCTAGCCTAAGGGCAATTTAGTATTTTATTATTATTTTTGTTGGGTATAATTATTACGTTCAAGGTTGGGTTTTATGTAGAAGATTGAGTTGTGAGTTTTAAGTTTAGGGTTTGGTAGAGATTTCCTACCTCTCGAATTGTAGGAAGTGGGAGAGATGGGCTACCTCTCGATTTGTAAGTGTTTATCTTTGTATTTTATAGAGTTGTTTGGATTATTGAAGAAAATTTTATTTTGCTCTAATTTTTGTAAAAAAGTGTGCCGAATTTAACATCAGATCGTATCACAGTGCTAAATGAACTCACAATCCCTGCCATCATGAGTTTCTTCTTGCTTTCTTCTCTTCTAGGGTTTAGGGTTTAGGTTTTAGGGTTCAGCAAAGGTTTCCCTAATAATAGGGAGAAGCTTTATCCCCATGATTCTCCCTCTGACCTCATCTAATTTTTATTTAGACCCAATAAAAACTTGATCGTCTTCTTCTCCAATATTATTTTATACAGCATAGCATCTTGCAGAAACTTCCATACATATGTATATTATACATATCTAACTGTAACCAGCACATTCATAGTGTTTTAAAGTATTGAGTAATACCCAACTCTTCTCGTCAGAGCTCGTGTAGTTTTGTCTTAATCAATTTTGTAATGTTTTCAATAATAAAATAAGTCTCACGAGCTATTTCCTCAATCTCTCATGTTGTCCTTTAAAGCCAAAAAATTTCTCTATTTTTTGTGGTCATAAAGTTGATCAACCAAGACATGATCATATGATAATAGATCTTCGATTAACAATGGTTGGGACCATTGAACTTAGAACTGCGCCCTCTATCGTGAGATATACCTCTTTTCTTTTTCCACAAATATACATAAATTGAGACCATTGAAGAAAGTTATGGTCACTGAGTTTATAGTTTGTGATAAATATAAAAAGTTGTGGTTATTTGTGCATAATTCTTGATCTCTAATTAAGAAATAGCCTCGAAGTAGAACTACTCGTCTTCATTCCACACTTGGTCATAAATCTAATGTACATTTAGGGCAGAATAAGGTTGTTGCTTGCTGCAAGAATGGAGGAGCTCCAAGACTTGCACAATCTCATATTCCACAGGCTAATATGCAAGAAGACCACTCATCAAGTCCACAAAATCAGCCACAGATCTTAAAATGTCAATTAAGATCTTATAAAATGCCAATCACAATAGAAACTACTCTTTAAGTAAACTATATATCAATTCTAACCATCAACTACACAAATTTCAAAGCCAAAAGAGACCTCATTTATCCATTCATTGCACCAAAGGACAGAAAACTTCAACATGAATCTAGAAGATGAAATGCATCAACTCTCAACCCTTCAATTGATTGGAGAACCAACATACCCTTGCGCCAAGGGCTTTTCCATCCAACACAAAACTTGACAAATTACCTCCAATATTTTTGGTTCAACCCCATCGAAGTTCTAAACTAGCTTTCACTCTTATCTCTGTAAATACCCCCTTATAAAAGAAAAGTAAAAGATTTCTAACTCTTAGTCTCTCCCCAAAAAGAGACGAGGGCTTAGCTCTGAAACATCGCTCTTCATCCAAAAGAGAAGACTGCACAGAGCCAACTTTAGCTCCGATTCAAGTCCAAACTTATTTAACCAACGAGAGTGTTAAATTTCTTGATAATAATATGCCATATTATCTCATTGGCATCTATTTTGATCATTGCATGAGAAAATTGTTATTTAGATTGAGATGACCCAGTAACTCAAATTCCGTCGGCATTCAAATATTATTTGAGGCAAGAAAACCTTTTGCATCATTTTTTGGGAATCCATCCTATTATCGTGTGGATTCAAACTATTCATATTCCATCTCTGTTCCAGAATCTAAATCCCCTTCTTATGATTCAAGGAAGCTGATCCTCAACTACAAGGTTCAGCCCTCTTCTTCATTACATGAAGGAACTCCTGGTTCCTCTATCAAGTGATATAGGAAACCAGAGAGGCGTGCCACATATAAAGTGCATCGAATCAAAGCCTTTTGAAGGATAATGAGTACCACAACATCATATTACACTAAATTTCAGCCGAAAATAAAGAATTTTTTTTCTTCGCATGCCACCATTAAGTTCCCAAACACATCAAGATGAATTCATTGTCAACTCTTCAATAGCTTTGAATTTTGCTCCCTGACCATCATCACTGCTTGCAACTCATTATAAAGCTTCAGTGCTTTTCAATACACTGTATAATAGGAATAGTAATATACCTGAAAATTCAAGTTTTAAAGTTCAGATTGGGTGAATTCATTGCCAACTCCTCTTCATTAAATTACCTTAATTTGCATGAAGTACCTACATTCCCCTCATTCACGAACTTCGTGTGAAATTTCAATCAAATTACACTCATATTTTTTAAAACCATTCTCTCTCGTTAAGTGCCAAAAAATTGAATATGTTAAGATGGCTGTATAGCGAAATTTGAATAATAATGGGAAAATCACCTATTGAGAAAAAAAATAATAATAAATAGACCAAAATGGCTGTGAGCATGCATAATGGAGAGCACAAGATTCATCAATGAGATGTGTAGATAAATTCAAAGTGCAGAGATTAGAAAGAAAAATTAGTTAGACAAACAAACCTTAGTAAGAAGTTTTTTCTCAAAAACAGTGTTAGCAAGTTCAATAATGAATGCAAAATGAGTTTAAAAATGCCAGATGTGGTAGGAACGTGGCTAATTATGTGGTGAGGATGATGAATCACTTTATGTATATGAGCGAATAAAACATTCTGATAATCACTTTTTAAGTAAATAGGGTCATGGTGAACACAAATAATCTTAACAATATAAATCTTAAGTTGAAAAGATCTAGTAAATGAACTTTTTGAAATAACCGAAAGCTCAATACAAAACATCTTTCAACTTTATCTAAATAATTTATGCTAATTTGGCTTTGTAAAAGCTTACAAACCTTGAATTTCTGAATCATTCGAAATTTCAAAGAACTCAAGAAATGAATCTTCGGGAAGGTATCTACAATAAGGTTGACAACTTCCTCTGGAAAAAAAAGAGCATAATTTTACTTTCCAATTTGAAAGTAAATGAAGTATTTTAATGAAAGTGATGTCAATGATGTTCTCATGGAAAACCAATTGCATTGTACAAGAAAATTGCTACTCTTCGAGACAAAAGGATTGCTAGCTCTTAAAGTCAAGAAAACTACAAATATAATATAAGAATGCTAGTCCTACATATAATGTACCTCCTATGGACAAAAATAACAGCATATCCAGATTTCACAAAGTACCTACAACATAAGAACAGCAATAATCTTAAAACAATTGAAACAAATTAATAAAGAAAAGGCTACAAGAAAAAAGTGTGGCCAAAATACTCAGTAGATGTAGCCCCTCTGTGACCTGAACTGAAATTATCAATGTAGCGCACACATCGTTGCTCCAAGGGAACAGTTGTGCCTCCAGAAGTCACACAAACAACCCCAACACTTTTGGTATTTCCTGAGAAAAGGAAATTCACAAATAACTAGTCTAGCGTGGCATGTGTACCAGTAAAATCAAGTAAAATATGTTCACCTGAAATTTGAGAATTTTGATGAATAAATTCTTTCACTTTCTGAGTGATACTGTCACTATTTTTCAGAGGTGGAGCAGATTCAAAAAAAGATTTGACATCACTGAATGATTCAGGTTGAGAAGCATCTAAACCAATTTCAGCATCCATGATTAAAAACTTGTTTTTTCTTTCTTTTTTTTTTTTTTGGTTTCACAAGAAATTCTCTCAGTATAATGAAAAAGACCAACAGCAACAAGATAGACCTGGTTAGAACATGCGAGAAATTTATCAGACAGGATGAAAACCTAACTGGAAAGAACCAAATTAAAGCAAAACTCCAAAAAAAATCTTTTACATTCTTCCTAACATAATTTTTTAAAATTCGGACAGTTCTCCTTCACTTATTGATACCGGAATTAAACGAAAATTGCAATAGAGGAAGCAGATTTTTATTACGCAAAACAACAGAGTTACAATCACGACCTCGAAACAGAAACAAAGCGCCAGACAACACAAATATCCTGCTAGGGTGAGGCAGGACAGTAAGTGGAACAGCGGCGGCGAGATGGTTTGGAGTCGTGGGGCAAGCGGGAGTGATCCAAGTGGTTAGCGGGAGACCAGGATGGTACACATCGGGTGGTGCAGGATGGGAGAAAGCAGGTGATTGTAGGGCTAGGGAAGGTTCACGGGTGATTGGAAGGGAAAAGTTTGTGGTTGGATGGGAATGGTTTGGAGCAGGCTGCAGTTGGAGGGGAAACTGGCGGCTGGAAAGGGGAGGGTTTGGAGCAGGCAGCGGTTGGAAGGGAGTCTAGAGGGTGGAAGGGGGAGATCTAGAGCAGGCGGCGGTTGGAGAGGAACTGGCGACTAGAAAGGGGAGGTTTGGAGCAGGCTGCGGTTAAAGTGGAGATTGGCGGCTGGCAGAGGGAGAACCAGAGCAGACTGCGGTTGGAGGGCAGAGGAATATGCGGAGGTAATCACCAACTCGGCGCAGGTACATACTCGAAGAGGATACAACAGCAAATATGAAAACAAAATTCAACCCAATGACGTAAAATAATATATATATATATATATATATATATACAAAGTTTTGGCGTTAGATATGTTATGACATAGGAATTGTGTGATAATGCATGTAAATGCCACACAAAAGAAGTAAACCATAGAAGTAATCAAAGCATGCAAATCATTCACAAACTGCAATTTCACCAGATAACCATAGAGGTCAAGTAGCAGAAAGAAAAGAGTTTATAGTTACAAAAAAATTAAAACCTCACCTTGAAAAGTTGAAAAACTTTCATTATGAAGCTGATTGATTTGCCAACATTCTGTGCAGTACTAGCTTGTCCATCGCTCATAAATTTAGAGAAAACATTTGTGTATGTAAGACGTACGCAACGCTGCGTACGTCAAGAGGTTATTCGGAGGGTATAAAGGGGGTTATATCATCGTTATACCCCTTGTAACCTCTCTGTAACCTACAAATAAGTTTCGTGTTTCTGTAGTTCCGGTAGGTACAGGTAAGTTACAGGAAAGTTGTAAGGGGATACAATGCAGATATAATCTCTCTGTACCATATGAATAACCTCGGACGTACGCAGTGTTGCGTATGTCTTACGTACGCAAATATTTCCCCAAATTTAGAACCATATTGAATAGCCATACAAATCTTATCCCTAGTCTCCGCTTTGTTGAGGTACAAGACCAACAGAGCAAGCTTTGCTCCTATTACATCTAATGAACTCATATCCTGCATTAGAGGCCCTTGCTTAATTTTTAAAGAAAAGGAGGAGTTTTTTAGTAAATCAAGAAACAGAAAGAAGAATTCAATCATGATTATTTTTACGCCATAATCATTATACACAAAAAAGTGGAACGCCGTTAAATTTTCAATCAGTTGAGGCCCACTTTGATTAATACTTGCGCTCCCTTTCCTTGCTCTTTCACTGTCATCTTGTCGACATGTGGGATTCTACTACCTATTTATCCATGCATGGCCAATTCTAATAACGACATTTTTCAAATTCCAAATTTTGTCAACATCAAGATAATGGAGGGTCGATTCTCACCTCCTTATAAAAAAGTGCAATAAAGTTCAATTCCAACAAAACTTGGGCCGCAAAAGGCCTAGCAAAAATATTTTGGCAACATCTGCCTGAAAGATTTTGAAGGTGTTGTGGTATAGATGAATAAAATAGGAGAACGATCTTTGACAAAGTGAAAAATAAAATGAGAAAATTCACTCCAGAAAACAGTAACACAGCGGAACACACAAATTTATGTGGTTCAACAAATTGCCTATGTCCATGGAATTGCAGAGGATTTTACTACTTGAGGAATTTACATCAGTCGATCGTCTCGACTTACAAGAAGAATCCATCACTTAGTTGCTCTCTTTTCTTCTCTCTCTCTTCTTCTTTCTCTACACCGAGATACACCGAAAAAGCTCTACGCCGAGATACATCGAAAAAGATAAACTTACAAGAGAAATAAACTCAATTTTTTTTTGCCACAAGCCACCATGAAGAAGCTAAGGGAGAACACTCTTCTTTCTTCTTCCTTCATCGCAAGGAACTACACCTTGCACTTCTTTTCCTCTATCCTGAGGAAGCCCGAAGAAGAACACCCAAAAAGGTCGTGACAAATCTGAAGGAGAGCCGTGCGATTTTTATTCTCGTTCGAACCACACGCACGTCGCCGAAGAACTGCTTCTTGTTCACGACTCTTACAAGCGGGGCTCTTATTCGCGAAATCAAATGAGCAGGAAAGCAAAGCAATGCTTCGTTTCGCGATTGTGGAGACGAGAGGAGCGGGAACAGGTATTGCGACAGAGGGTGGCGTCGATTCGTGAAACGTATGAAGGAATGGAAGTGAAATGGTAGGATCAGCGGACCGGGCTCCATCATAACAAATCTTTCACTTGGAGACCGGTATACATACTACAAGGTCTTCTGATAGGCTAAAAATGTTCAATTTTTCATATGTTTTTAATGTCTATATTTGGTGATTTTCAATGATATTACACTTTAAAGCAAGTTATTTTGTATATTTTTGGTTTCAGGTACAGGAAATGGAGTTTTGGAGAAAGAGAAACAAAAACTATGCAATTTAGAGCAAAAACAAGCAAGAAAGAAAACTTTGTCCTGACACATTTTGATATGTATTTCTATATTTAATCTCATTTACACTTCTCATAAATTTTTGAATGAAATTAAACTTTAAAGAAAGGTTTTTTATGCTTATTTTATAGGTTTATTTGTTAGGAACACAACGCAACTGAAACACGAAACGGAACGGGGGCGAAACAAAGCTAAAACGGAGTCAAACGAAACAAAATGGTGGAGCAGCGTAGTGCAGGCACCAAGAGCGCCAGAGAGCAGAAAATGACGTCAAAATGGCGTCGACAGCACCTGGGACGGTTCGAAGGTGGTGATGGACAAATTTCTAGAAGATTCAATGTATTTGGACACTTTTTAGAGGGTTGCTTGAGGCATCTCTTGATAAATCCGTCCCTACACTATAATAAAGTGCTTTTATGTCAGAAAAGGTGTGTGTGTGTGTGAGTGAGAAGATGTGGATAATGTTTAGAGATCTTAGAATAGGAGTAGAAATGTAGGTTTCTATCTTTTTGGAGAGATTGGTGAGGGGTTTTGAGAGAATATGTAAGGGAATGTTCTAGCATTGCATGGATCAGCGGGAGACTTTGTGGGAGAGATTTTCATATTTCTTTTAAGGGAAAAAGCTAAGTATTGTGTTCTTCATTATCTTGTGATTTCTTAAACACTTATCTAATGGATTTGTTTTGATTTAATGAAGTTTTTTGTTGTGTTTTCTTCTTACTTTGTGATGTGTTTCTATTACTATTTCATCTTTTTTTAAAAATAGTGACATGAGGAGATTATGTCATTATTTTCCTTTTACTTTTCTTTTGCAATGAGTAGGATTCATGTTTAGGATATTGGGATGCATGCTAGAAGAAGTTTTAATTATAAATTGTGATAGTTTTTCAACTCCGCTCTTAATTTACTTTTCAATATGACAAATTGAATTGTTAAAATATGTTGTGAAACATATGATCCCGAAAATGGAGTATGAATTCTACAACAGAATGAGAATCACATTTAAGTCCATGAAGGAGTATTTCGTTCATAGGATTAAGTGAAAATAAATATAGAAATATACTTTGTTGGGTATAGAATTGGAGATTTCTAGGGTGACAGACTAAAAATATCTAATTTGATCTTAGTGTTTAAAAATTAAAGCGAGAGTTAGCCTTCAGGGGAAGAGAAGTGGGAGCTCTGGAGTGGAAGGCAGGATCCTCCTAGCCTAGCCACGGATTTAAGGACTAAACCTAAGATTAGCCAATGATTTTCTATAACACTGAATCAGGGTAGAGAATTAAAATTACTCCTATTTGACACATATATTTAATGTATCTCATTCCTTTACATTAGTCAATTTACTACATAAGAATAATAGTTTTTAACATCTTAAAGTTCTCCAAACCAACTCATCCAAAAAGGGTTATCTTTAGAATTAATATTTACATTTAGGAATAGTTACTATCCTTGCATTTAACATTTGCACTTAGGAGTAGTTGCTAGATAGAACATCATTTTAATCAACATTCCAAACTAAGGACTAATATTAGTAGACTGAAATTTGATTAAGGACAATTTTCCTCGCTTTCTCGTGGGATTGATTTTCGGGGCTTCATCAAAAAGTTTTATATTACTTGAGTGATATGTATACTTGTGTTTATATCATTGTGATTATATAGAATATATAAAATTAGGCATATAAAAAAAGTTGCATCATCTTCTTCCTCGAACTAATATCCTCCACTAGTGATGTCGCCCTTTTCTTCAAATATGAATTCTCCACCTCTGCAACTCAAAGCTTTGTCTTCACACGAAGAGGCCAACTGAAGTTGTGCACAACTTCAATTTCTCAAGAATAACCCCTTAGTCAATATATCAGCAGAATCCACATAGCCTTGCACCTCCAAGTTATTTTCTGTATTACTCTTGTCTCTGCTTACAACTCTCACTCCATGGGCAATATATTGCCTCTACTGAAAGTATTTTTCAACAAATCTAGCCTTGTTCCTCTTACTGTCATCACGCTTAGTCTTCGCCTGGTACACGCACTTGTTGTGTATTGCCTTCTTCCCTGATGGAAGTTCTGTCATCTACTACTTGCTCAAATTTTCATTTTGCGAGATTTTCTTATAGCTCTGTGGTTCTCCACCATCTGTCTGTGGAACAATAGGATTGGGTACTACGGACCCACTCTCCTCTTTACTTTCATTTTCAACAATACTATGAACTACCAGCAATAGTGCATCTTGTACTTCTTAAGAAATCACATTTGTGCTATCATTCTACATCTTCTTGGGATTCCTACACTATCTTTTTATGTGGCTAGTCTTGCCACAATTTTAGCAGGTTGTCTGCTGACCAGACTTTGATTTTGATCTCCCTCTATTTGAGTTCTTGTCCTGCAATCTCCCTCTGAAATCAACATTCATTGTCGAACTCAAACCTAAGATCTCGCCAGAATCTTTCCTGTGCACCTCCTCAACCAAAATCAAATCATGAATATCATTACATTTCAGTTTAGATTTATCTACAGAACTGTTAAGTGTCATTCTAATGGCTTATTAACTATTTGACAATGATGTCAACAATATCAGCGCACGTATCTCATCATCAAAATTAATTTCAACAGACGACAATTAATTTGTGATATCATTGAAATCATTCAAGTGCTTAGCAATAGAAACACCTCTATTATCTTCAAATTGAATAAATTCTTCATTAAGTACACCTTGTTATTCGCCGATGACTTTTCATACATACTTGATAAGGCTACCATGAGATCTGCAGTCGTCCTCTCCTTGATGACATTGTGTGCAACGGAACTTGATAGGGACAATCGAATAATCCACAGAACTTGTCGATCCAACAAATTTCAATCATTCTCATCCATCATTTCAGGTCTTTTCCCCAATAACGGAAGATAAAATTTTTCCTATAGAGGTAGTCCCCAATCTACATCATCCAATAATCAAAATCTATGCTATCAAATTTCTCGATCTCTGAAACATTCACTTCATCTGTAGTCATCATAATTCCTCAGATCTGAAACAAAGCTCTGATACCAGTTGATGTGGTATGTATGAATAAAATAGGAAAATGATCTTTGACGAAGCAAAAATAGAACGAGAAAATTCATACCAAAAAATAGTAACACAGTGGAACACATAAATTTACATGATTCGGCAAATTGCCTACGTCCACGGAATTACAGAGGATTTTATCACTTGAGGAATTTACACCAATCGATTTTGTCGACTTACAAGAGGAATCTAGCACTTCGCTGCTCTCTCTTCTTCTCTCTCGCTACTTCTCTCTCTACACCGAGATACACCAAATAAGCTCTACATCGAGATATACCGAAGAAGATAAACTTATAAGAGAAATAAACCTAATTTCTTTTATGCCACAAGCCACCAAGAAGAAGAAAAGGGAGACTAATATTCTTCTTCTTCTTTCTTCTTCCTTCACCGCAAAGAACTACACCTTGCACTTCTCGCTGAAGAACTGCTTCCTATTTGCAACTCTTATCAGTGGGGCTCTTATTCGTGAAATCAAATGGGCGTGAAATGAAGCAATGCTTTGTTTCGCGGCTGTGGAGATGAGAGGAGATGGAACTAGTATCGCGACAGAGGGTGGCGCCGATTCGCGAAATGTATGAAGGAATGAAAGCGGGATGGTGAGATCGGCGGACCGGGTTCCATCATAACAGAAGGTTGAAGCCAAAGAGAATATTGTGTTTTGATTTGAGAAGTACAAACAAAAACAAGGAGGAGAGATCCAAACTAGAGTCACTGCAAGCTTCGTGGAGCAATCAGACCGAAGAAACAATTTTAGCAAGCTTATCAAAAATTGATTAATAAAATACAGTTATCATGAGAATAGTCTTGCACAATTTGCTTCTAACAAAAGCTTTACGATGACATACTAAGGGTTACCGAGCCCAAGAAAGTAGCAACCTTATAGTTTCAAATCTAACACGAACTTGCAACTTACTTGACACCAATCTAAGATTCTTATATGTTATGAGAAGATCAAGGGATAGGCTACGTGAGTTGCAAGATGGGAGACAAAATGGTAAATAGTGATATTGAAAATTCGACGCTACCAGTGGTTTGACAACAAACTGGAACAAAAAATAACTGATCTGAAGCAGGGGTTGGCAGTGCGGGAGGACTCCAAATGTCCGGGAGAGTTTAACACCTAAATCCAATCAAATAACAAGCACACCAAATGAGAGAGATCAAAGGATAAAACATTCCGACAAGAAAGAAACTAGGATGTATTTAATCAAAATTTGCTTAAAGCATTTAATCTTCATGTGCTTATGAAACACATTTACAACTTTGGGCTCTAAATGACTCAAATTCCACACAATATTTAAAAATAAGATTAGTGGTAATAATAATAAGGCCATAATTGCATAGTAATTATAATGAAATTAGTTAAAAAGCCAAGAAACAACTTGCAAATTACAATATCATGTAAAAATAACCAAGCTCATAACAACATTGCCTGAAAGTCTTGTTTTACATTAAATGACTGCATGTTTGGTTGTTTGCCTAGAAATACAATTTAATTCTTGTAGGATTTAGTAAATCATTAAAATTCATGTTTCAGAAACCTTAAAATTAGTTTGACATGAAATTATTAATGCTTCATTTAGTTATATCCATAGATTACACCATATCTTACTAACATACACCAAGTAAACTTAAAAAAGGAAGAGAAAGCTAGAGAATAGCTTTGGGAATCTTAATATACTTTTGTCTGACAAACAAGAAAACGTTAGAACATGCTAAGCCCGTCCTCAAACCCAAAACTATAGGTTTAGGTTCCGGTCAACATTCAGTACATAGGAATGACTATTTTAGAGCAACACAAATAAAATAAAGCATAATAATACTTGTTATAAAAATGATTAAATCTTCTTTGGTTATGGTTGTCCAAATATTTGGGCAAATCTCAATCAGTAGTTGGAGAAGAATTCTCTAGTGGTTAGACATTGAGTTCTCTGAATGAATTCCTTTTCAGTAGATGAGTAGCTTTAGGCGAATTAACAACTTCAATTACCAAGTTTAATGGGAGAGTATGTAGTTTCTCTTGGAGAATAGCATAGAGGCAAATAGATTTAAGCAACATGACGAAATTGCATCTCTGAATGAGTTAAAGCTTTTGGAAAATTTGTTGAAGTGTCGACATTATACCTAGCAATATGAATTTAACCAATCAATTATGGGTGTAATGGAATATGGTTAAACACTAATAAAATTTTTGCTCATTTGTTTTGGGATTTAAGATTTAAAAGAATAAAAAAGTAAAACAAGGCAACATAGGATGATCAATAGAGGGCAAAAGTATCAACTACCATAAAATAAGAGAAGGAAGAATGTTTTTCATTATCGACACAGTGAAAGGAGAGTCCAAAAGGTTGAGGCTGGGAGAGGAGACATATTTGAGAGGAGCTCAAGGGGAAATACAGAGAGATCAAGACGAGAACAAGGCAAAGAGAGGGGTGATTGCAAGAGAGACAAACATAGAGAGGCAAATGCGAGTGGGAGAGATGTTAGCGAAAGATTGTGATGAAGAAGTCAAGCAAAAAAGGTGAGTGTGTGAGACACTGAGGTCATTGAGATCGAGATTCACAAAGAATTCATAAGAGAGGGAGAACAACGATGATGGTGGAAAGAGAGAGAGAAAAACATACAAGGTCAAGTTAGAGAGCATGAGTTATATCTATAGATTTCGTTTGGATGCAAGCAATATTTAGCTTAAATCTTGCCAAAAAGTTGGGTGGTTTTAAATTATGTTGTTTTGATATAACACGTTTCAACACTAAGTTTGGTCCATAATTAGTAAAATCCTAAATCCTGAAATAATTAATTAATCAATAATAGTAAGGTTTAATTTATTTATATAGAAATAAATAATTAATCAATAATATGTAATTTGTTCATATATTAATTAAAATAATTAAAATTATAAATTATAGATTAATATACAATAAACATATATATTAATTTTTGTTTAATAAAAATAAATAATATAAAACGCCCCTCATAACGGCAATTAATGTTAACCACCCCTAAACGGGCAATTTATCTAGAACACTTTATTTATTTATTTTTTAGTTCGCGTTCCTTCCACAGATAAAATTATGTGCTCCTTTATACAATTTGATCCATTAATAAGATAACATAGCAATCTGACAATTTTAATTTCTAAAATAATCCTATATAACGAAGTTGTTTATAAAACAGAAATTTTAATTTCTTATACACTAAATAATTTAAAAAATAATGATGAAAATTTATTAGTTTGCCTCTCACAATGTGTGACATATTAAATAAAATAATGGAAAATTATCCCGCGCACCATACTGTAAGGCCAAGAGTACCGCGTACCCAGGTCTGTTGATTGGTATCCACGGTATAAAATCCCTCAGGTCGGAGATTTTAATCCCCTCTAGCACAACTTAAGAGGTGATATTTGAACTATTAGACACATTAGAGGTGGCAGGAGACTCATATAATAACCTCTCATCATTCATTTAAAAAAAAAAAAACTAATTACTGCAATGCGAAGAGAGAGCTCTTTTTAAAAGAATAACTAATCTCTCAAAAATTAACTTTTTTATGTAAAAATTCTAGCGAAAATAATAATAACACTTAAACTTTCAAGATTTTAAAAACCTTTTGCTAGGAAATAAAAAGGTTAGAACAAGAAATTTGGATATTGGAAATTTCACTTATATTTTAATTTAAAATATTTACATAAATAGCAATTTAAACATTGTTATTATGGTACAATTACATATAGACCACCCAAAACTTACTTTTTACTAATCAACCACCCTCTTTCATCCATTTTTCAAACTCACTCAAATATCAAAATTCATGATGAAATCACAACCCATATTTTTTTCATTTTTAACAAATTTTCAATTGTTTGACCGTGGCAGATTCGGAGGTTAAAAAAAAAAATCACCTATCAATATTTCAGGTGGTTTGCATGTAAAAAAAATAAAATATGGGTTGAAATTTTTTAGTGAATTTCGAAAATATGAGTAAGAAATTGAAAAATGGACAGGTTCGTTCTGTAAATAGCAATGTTTCAAGTTCCATGCATGCAATTACCCTTTAATTTTAAAATAAAAAATAATTCCAACTAAATAATTATTTTTAAGAATAAAAAAAATAGAAATTAATGAAATAAAATCCTTTATAAATCGTGACGTGAAACTCTAAAAACGAAAAGAAACAAAATATAAAAAGAATATTAAGGGTTTTAATAATTAAATATTCTAAAAAAAATACACAGGAAAACAAAAACATGTTAGTACTGTAATTTTCAAGTTTCTGTACCTCTGCTGCAATTTTTTACATATTGGTTGCTTTAAATCCTCTTATTTTCACCTTCAAGAATATAATGAACTTGATGCCTGTTATCTACCTTTGTATCAGATGACTATCTAGAAGAGGGTGTTGCAGATGTTCGTGCGGACCACCTGAACTTCTATTAGCCGCTGTAGCTCTGTCAATAAAACATGAATTAACTGATACAGCAGACAGCATGTTCATTAGCAATGATCATGAATTATTTTGGGTTTTGATCTAATTCTTATGTATTTACATATCTAGCACCTAAAGTTCATTATATATATATATATATATATATACCACCTAACCATGCATTAAAAAACACATTTTACGTCTTAAAAGTTAAAATAGTGCTATTTTTTACCTGATACGAAAAGATTTGGGTGGTATAAATGTTAAATGCAACATTTAGGTGTTAGATATGTAAATACATAGAAGATGGGTGGCATGTATGTAAATCTCCTATATAGGAGGGCATAAAAGCTGGAGGATAAATAAAGTTGAAAAATCAAAATTAAATCTCTATATATTCTTAAAAATTACAATTAAATTCATTGAAATCACCAAGCTATACGAATGAATAATTTTGAATATTCAAAATGAATTTTTCATCCCTTTCTTCGAATAAAATAAAAAGAGAGAGATATCTGTGTCTAGATTTTTTATATTCTGATCAAAATAATAGAAGTATCAAAGGCAGAAAAAATTAATTATAGAGAACTTTGCATGCTAGCATGCAAATGAAAATCTATGATTGTATGAGAGCGATAGTTTTATCACCCAAATAAAGAGCATATTGGCTAGTTATTAATTTAAAGGTTTGCATAGTTTCAAATATAGTATTAAAATCACAGCAAATGAAGAATAACAACCCTTCCACCCACACAACATAAGGGTCTGTAAATTTAATAACTTATATTTTTCACTAGCATGTATATATATATATTTGAAAGTTGCTGTCCCATAACATGTTAATTTTTATTTTATATTTAATATTTATTTTTGATGATATTGCATTTTAAGGAAATGTATTTTCATATTTTTGTTGCAGGTATTAAAGGTAAGAGAATTTGAACGAATTAGAGAAAAAACGGAGACGGAGGAAACATTAAACTGGCGCCTAGACACCACTCCAATGCGCCATATATAGGCACTTAGGCGTCGGACTTTCCCAAAATTCCCAAGAAGATGACGCTTTGGTGCCACATACTGGCAACTAGGCACCAGTTGTTTTACCTGGCTATCCGAGCAAGTGACTCCAAGGCGCCACAGACTGGCGCCTAGGCGTCAGAACTGTCCTAGACAGTTTTTGGAACAGTTTTACACGAATTTGGGGGTTATTTTCAGGGGGAGGCAGTTCAAACGGAAGGAGGAGAACATTTTGTGAAGTAGAAAGAAAGCCAAGGCGTGCAAGAAATGGGAGGAGAGATCTAGGTATTCATTTCTCTTACTGCATTTCTTTTGAGAGATGTGAGAGAAATTAGTAAGGGATTGTTGTAGCAGTGCAAGGAGGACTCAGAGATCACCTGGAGAGAAGTTTTCAATTCTTTTCTCAGGGAGAAAGATAAGTATTTTGTTAAACATTGTGTTGTAATAGTGTGAATTCATCTTGTCTAACTTTTATTTATTATAAGATGATTAGTTCTTGTGTTTTATTCATGCACTCTGAGAAAATATTTACTCCTTCCTCTTGTGATGCAATAGTATGTGGATTCATTTAGAATTAATTTTTACTCATGCTTGTGATGGCTTTTACTTAAATCTTCATTTACATATCAATCCGATCATTTGGTGTGTTAATATTTGTTGTGATTCCATTAAGATCTGGGAAGGCGATGGAGTTAACAACTAAGAAAAACCTCATTAATCTTTGAGGTGAAGAAAAAGTAATCCGTAAATCAGAGCAAATACATAGGGAGATACATTTAATGGGGGTAACTTTGAGGTTTTTAGGGTGACAGACATAAACACTTTCTTAGTTAAGCCTAATTTCTTTGTGCACTTGAAAAAGAGTAAGGAAAATGAATGCCCCTATATGTCACAAAATTTCAATATCATTTCTAGGTCTTCTACTTCTACACATATTACTAATTTCATTGCAAGTGGATGGTATTTTTAATAGCTTGAACTATCTTACTTTATTTGACTTTACTAAAATTAGCTTATTAGTAAATTTAGAGGATTAGAACTAAATGAAAATATGACACTAAATAGGGCGCAATGGAGAAAAAGGAAAGGATTCATGCATGTAGCCAACCCCACCTAGTGGGATTAAGGCTTTGTTGTTGTTGTTGTTATTGTTGTTGTAGTAAATTTAGAGGATCAATGATACTTTGATAGAATTCACTATCTCACTTTAAATCAAACTTATTTCCTAGCTAAGACTACTTAAATTCAGATAGAGCTTTCCTTAAGTCTTTACGATTAACTGTCTTACATGTGGGATCGATACTTTAGACTAAAGAAAGTTTTATATTACTTAAACGATATGTGCACTTGCATAAAATACCTAGGGAGTAGTGCTAAACCGTGGAAAAACTCTAGTTATAAAATTTATAAAATATATTTTAGAATTATAATATTTCATCCCTAATTCACTAGGTACTCCGTAGATCGGTCAAAAGTCACTTTGGTTTAGTTGTTGAGAGCCTTGCCTTTCAACTAAGAGGTTTCGAATTTAAGGTCTTGCATATGCGGGATGCATGAGTGTTGAGAGGAAAAAAAAAGGTGGAAGCTAAGGAAGCAATTTTTTTAGTTCGCAAAAAATTTGCATTTTTTATATCTGTGTTCCTAATAAGCAAAACTAATTAAGCAATTGGTTAACAAACTATAAAGAGAATTTTATTTAGAAAAGGCAGCAGTAAGACCTTACACTGGTGGTTTGAAGTTCCATGGCAGCTGAATTATCATTCTCCTGAAAAATCCAAGCAGCATGCAAAGTGTCAAATTTCTTAAAGAGGCTCGCCATTTGAACAGTTCAGTAGAGTACCTCAAATAACAAATCCTTCCTGGTGATCAAACCAATGACTCGAGAAGGGCGTGGTACAACAAAGATGTGCCTCAGTCCCAATTGTCGAAAAAGATTGTACACCTATACAATTGGATCAAATAAATAAATAAGGAAAAAAAAAACTCCATCTCTTCTCAATTAAAAAAGTACATAAATAATCCCTGAAATCAAAATAAGTCACCTTCGCCAAAGACATGTCCTCTGGTACTATATATGGGCAAGGATTTAGGAAGGGGGCAAGATCTAGATACATTTCCTTCTCATCCTCCGTGAGATGGATGTCATCAATGGTCATTCCCTTGCTAGAAATAGGTTTCACAAAATCGGTCCAGATGTGCCTGATTAAAAAAAAAAATCAACACTTGTAAAATGCTTGGAAGGGATAAATATGAGAAAAAAATGTTAGGAAACAACATACCTGCTTGTTACACCACTAGGATCACAAGGAAAAGGGCTGCTCTGGAAATCTATCTTTGAATGTAGAAGTACCAATAAGTGGCTTAAACAGAACAGAGACGAAGGAAAATCAGGCTTCCCATGCATAAATCTCAACAAAAAAGGAAAACCAAAACTACAATCTAAAAATTGCATCATATCAGAGTACAAACACAACTGCTGAAACACAGTAGGTTAGTGGGCCATACCTACGAAGCATAAGGCCGATTACAAGTTCTTCCCCATTCCGTCCATGACTTACCACCTTTGATTAACAAAGAGTGTGATAAGGATTAGGTAGGAAAAAAAATTAAAACTACCCATTAAAATGTTGCTAAATAAATGCATACTGTACAAAATAAACTCACCGGAAAGCCATTGTGCTTGTTGCTTCTTAAAACATATAATATTTCGGAAACTTTAACAATGCGATGAAAGGATATAACCTGCTTGATACCCAAAATATGACATTCCAAAAAATCACGAAATGAAAAATTTTTTTAAAAAATTGTCAATTTTGACAGAATTATAATGAAAAGAGTTTTACTTGTTGATTCTTGCAAGCCTCCTGTGCTATCATATTTCGCATAAGCTGTTTAGGCCTAGATTCAAGCAAAGGGATGCCCCTCAAGCGAGCCTGCTCCTCATACAATCCTTCATTGAAAAAATCACCGACAGCCTGACAAAATATGACTCAGAACTCTCTTCCAATAAGTTGTAAATCACAGTTACATAGACCTAAAAATAATACCTTGGATATAAGAAGAACGAGCATGATTAGAGGAAGAAGTTTTAAGTTGTTTGTGATCTCAACCATAATAACACACAAGGACACCGTCATTCTCATAGACCCTCCAAGAAATGAAGCTGCGCCAAGCAGTGCATAACTACACAACAGGTGATTTATCAATAGGAAAATCATACAATAATCCGTTTTTTGTCAATAATAAATTTTATTATAAGCAAGATCTGTGTGCAAAGCAACAGAAACATTAAAAAAAATATGCAATGAGGGAAAATAAATTGCCTGTTTAATTAAAGCTTAAAATTGCATTGAAAAAAAAAAAGACTAATTTGAATGCCAAAAATGAACCTAATTCATGGCAAATGTTGTAACTAATGGAAATGATCGTAATTATAAAAATAGTATTTTCCATTCAAAAATAGTGTGTTAACAACATACTAAGGAAGATAACAAGTTCACTTCCAACATAGAGAGTAAGCATTATTAGCCTAGGATCGGGCTGCTTAACAAATATTCAGCTCTGATGCACACTCATTATTAATCATCAAAATATTGAACCTCCGAATCTTATGATTTACCTATAAAACCCAGTTTTCAAAATTCAGTCACAATGATGCAAATGGAGCAGTAAACCGGAAAATGTAGTGAAGCCTGCGGTAGGTCTGCAGTCCAAGTGGCCACATAAAAGAAAAATTCATTAGTACGATCGTTTCAGGTTTTTCTCTGTTTTAAAACATGCCTATGACGATTCTAATCACCTTATTGGATTTTAATTTTGCCTTCTACAAAGATATGATTTTTTCTTCTACAAGTTATTGTGGTACAGCACTCATTAGATTCCCTAGTACAACGTATGTTCCAGATCCTTTCTCTTCTCCCTAAGGCTGTGGAATCCTTTATTTCCGTAGCAGGATATGGAAGGTTAGCAATCAAGCAGAATTATTTTGATACCGGAACTAGCTAAAACCAATGGAAATGGACGCAATTTTTACTAAGCAAATGAATTATGGTTACAAAACGACTCAAAATGAAAATAAAACACAACAAACTCCAGTATCCGGTTAGGATCAAAGAGAAGATCCGAAAACGGCAGTGGTGTCGGCATGGTAGTTGAGAGTAGTAGTGGTAGGGAATGGGGAATAGGCGTTGGAAGATAGGGATGGTGGTGGCAAGTGGCTAGGAGTGGGGGAGAAAAGGATAGGTTGGTTGGCGGTGGAATTGGGAGAGGCTGCAGGATGTGTTGGTAGGTTATAAGGGATTAGGAAGGGTTAGTAGCTGTACAGTGTGGCTGGAGAGGAAGGACAATATGTATGGCTAGGGAAGGAGGCGACAGGGAGCTGGTTGGCAGCTAAATAGGCTGTACAGCAAATGCTGCTGCTGGAAATGGGGAGGCAGGCCAACAGGTAGGAGTAGGAGTGGCCAACAGCTAAGGGGAAATAAAGGGGAAGAGATAGGGAGAAAATCAGAGAGAATACAACAAAACCTCGGAATAAGATACAGTCAGAGCACAACCTTAGAGCGGGATACATATTTTGATAGAAGTCTTATAACAGGTACTATTGCAGGGAAAGGGGCCCAAGCCAATGGAGAGGAGTAGGGTTGGCCGACGGCTAAGGGGAGATAAGGGGGAAGAGGTAGGGAGGAAATTAGAGGGGATAGAACACCACATTGGAGAAGGATTGAGTCCAAGCACCGCATGTAGTCAAATACAACCCTCACAAGGAAAAACAAATACTTCTACCGAAATCTGAAATGAAACTCACCAAAACATAACCATAATTCAACAAACACCCACATATGTAATAGCTAATAGTAAAATAGGAAGGGGAAGTCGCGCCCTTGGGCGGCAACCAGAAAAGGAAGGGAAGAAGAGGTGGGAAATAGACGCTTGAATGGTGGATACGCGATATCTCTCGCTTCTAAGAAGACTGACCGATCCAGAAGGGGTTGGACCAAGATCCATGCTGGCCAGTTTAGCAACTAGCCAATTCAATCGGCTCTAAATCACAGAGTGCCGCTTCACAGGTTCCGCGTTTCCCGTGACCTGCCTTCCTCGCCCGCATCTTGTCTCCCAGCCCAACTTCATATTTTCATTGCTTACCCTAGTAAATACTATGAAATTTGAGATTGATTTCATGTTCTTGTCGTGACATGTGGTTATAGAGCTATATAAAGCTGTTTTTTGTGGTTTTTACCCTATATGTGATACCTGAGGAATCGATAACATAAGTAGGAGGTATAAACCTCTTCCATGGATATTGTGTGGAACTAGAGGGTGGCTTTAGTGACAACGAAATTGATGATTTTATGAGGGAACTATAAAGTTGAATTTTTCCTATGCGTCACAATCATGTTTTGAGAACATATCATTAGTTTGTAGCTTTATTTAAGATTTGTAATGTGAGCAAAAATAAAAACATAGCTCTATTTGGAACAATAAACCCTGAATTCTATAATAAAGAGGTTGATACAAAGTCGCCAGCTCAGTTTATTTTACAATGCAGTACACTCTGTCACATTATTTTTATATGATGGGAAAATGAATCACCTAGCAATCTCTAATGCTATGGACATGACAATTAGTTAACTTAGAATATGTTATGCACAGAAAATTGTAACCCTAGGCAACCTAGACAATGATAGAAAGAAAAGTCTTCCAAATGGGGAGTCACAAAAATTTAACTGCTAAAAAAGAAACCTCCTTGACATACAAGAGAATACTTAATATTAGTTTTCCTTGAGATTGATAACTTCATTTTAATAGAATTTCTCTTTACATTAGACCTTGGTTTAAAATGATCTAGGTCGAACTATATATGGGGTAATGACGCATAGTTGATTATCCCTCTTGCTCATGAAAAGCATTCTAGATTAAAAAGATTTCTTAGGCTTAGATTTAATATGTAGGTTTGAATTTCATTGAGATAAGAATGGTGGGGTTGATGAAGACAAACTCAATAAGATCCTTGATTCCATCATCCAACGTCTATTTGTGAACCAAACATGCTAAATGGAGGGTTTGATCCAAAGAGCATGACGAGAAATCACGGGTTACCTGCCGAACAAATCAAGGTGACAAACTAAGGAGATTCTTTCAAGAGAGTCAACTTATTTATTGACATGGGAATGGACATACCTATTTCATTAAATGCTTCAAAGCAACACGGCTTGGCCGCTTATGATTCAGAGGTATTAGGCTGAAAAAAGAGCTAAAATGAATAGCATAACTATCATTTGTCCACAAATTTCAATATAACTTAAAAAGTGGGTTTGTAGCCAATGAGACTTGATTGGTTTATGTAATTTTACCTGTGGTTTTGATTTTAACTAGGGTGCCAAGCCGAGTCAAGCTCAAGTCAAAGTCAACTTGAGCTTGGCTAGTTTGCAAAACAAGCAACTCGAACTCAAGCTCGAGCTCGTGTTGAGCCCGTATTATGAGCTCAAACAAGAACCGTCAGTTTATTAACAAGCTCAAAAGCTTGACTCGAAAAACTCATGCCCGCGTTCGTGGTTCAAGGCTAGAGCTCGCCAAAGGAAGCATCGCTGAGATTGGCCATGAATAGGGTTGTAAACGAGTCGAAATTGAGAGAGCTCAGGCTTGGCTCATGTTCGACTCGTTCGAAATTGCTCGTGTTCGAAATTGGCTCGTGAACAGCGTTTCTGTTTTCCACTCAATTTAAATATTGCCAGTGTTTGAATTAAAATTGGCTCATTAAAATTAATTGAAAAAAATAGATGTAAAGTGTTGAATTCGAACCTGCACGAAATCTGTACAAAACAAGATGACCACATGCCCATACAAGATGTTATGATTTAAACTTAAATATAAATATAAATTATATATATATATATATATATATATATATAATTTCTTTATTTTGAGCTAAAACGAGCCGAACATGAGCGAATAAAAGGTTGTTCATGTTCGGCTCATTTACTTAACGAATAATCCGAACACGAGCTGTTCAGGAACAACGAGTTTTTTGACAACCCTAGCCATGGGGAATCGTGCTGGTAGAAGAAACGTATGAGAAATAAATAAATACTGGATATTTTATATATTTAATTTATTAGTACATTTATGAGTGCATTGAATGCAAAGCCAACTTTTCCTTTTTTTTAATTCCAATGAATTTTTCAAACACAAGTCATAATTTTATTTTTATTTATTATATTAATTACTTAATTATAAATACTTAAGTTTTGCTCAGTCAGCTCGCAGACTTACGAACCAAGTTTTACTATACTCAAACTCGAGCTCGTTTAATATATGAGCTTGAGTTTGAGCTTGACCACAAGCTCGTGACTAAACAAGCTCGACTCGAGAGCTCGATAGTGAGCCAAGTTCGAGCCGGCTCGGCTCATTTACACTATAATAACTGAATTTTAATAATAATAATAATAATAATAATAATAAAAAATAACCGGGAGAGCGCGTTTAGGAGTCAAAAAAGTTGTTTCTATTTGTTCTATATTTGTTCTCAGATGTTGAAGGAATTTCAAAATTCAAAAACTTTCGTACTATCATTTGAATAAAAGAACCATATATTCTAATTTTGCGTCAAAAGCCACTAAATCTTAGTCAAAATTAAAAAGTATAAAATTGATACAAATTATCATCTTTTATGTGTTTCTAGACACGCCAAAGTTACACATTGGAGAACCCACCCTAGGACTTTCAAGTGCAACATACATTGATTTATGGAAACTGTCTATTTGGAGATGAAAAAATTGTGCTGGCTCTCATCAAAATTTTAATATACGTGCATAAACTGTTATGAGTTAGCAGAAAGTGATGTATTTATCATTGACTCCCTCATAAGTGAAATAAGATCATTTATTACAAATTTACAATATGACCCAACGGAAGAATGTAATTCCATGTTAATGACATGAACAAATAGAACTAAAGAGAAATTTGTAGAGTCAGAGCCAATATTCTCACGAGCGTCCAGAAAATTGCCTTAAACAAGTTAAACTAAGCTCCGAGTAAAGGTATCCCAACCATACTGAATGTTGACCTGACATAAACAATGATTCTTTTGTTTTATCTATTACTCTCAGAATGTCTGCCAATTTACATCTGGAACTTGTTTTGTTGCTTAACATGAGCAAATAATATTATAACTTCATAATTTGAAAGGACCAGAAATATCTGATAGTGCATGGCGAATTGATGCTGCCAATTTGGTCCTACAAAGCAATAGGGAATTGGACAACCGATATTTGATTGAAAGAAAAATGCATGAGAGCGAACTTTACATCTTTAGTTTTTCATATTTTCTTTCATCTCAGAAACTGAGCCCATCCTACTGAACACAAGCTAATAACATTGGACGCACAGTGCGCTATAGTTATATCGGTGGAAATGGAGAAGAATCATTACTGTGCGCCATAGTTATATCGGTGGAAATGGAGAAGAATCATTACCCAAATTTGAGGAATATTAGGAGAAAATGCATCAAAATCAAATTCTCATATTTCCTGATAGATATTTAGCCTCACGTAATACTAAGCTTCCAATTTCCTTCCATATCAAATTTTAAAGGTGAGGCCAGAACAAGAAAGAGCTTCTGCTCATTGGCTAATAGCAAAATCAAACTGAAATTTAAAGAATATTAGAAGGACAAGCCATAATTAGATAGAAGAATATTATACTCACGTTCCTTCATCGACATTTAGTTTCATGTAATATTTAACCACAAAAATCCCCACAAGCCGTCCATAAGTTGAACCAATCATTATTCCAGGAACAAACTGGCCAGCAGGAACAGCAGCTCCAAATGTCACCACAGCCAAAGAATAAAACATAACCTGCAATGGATTAAGAGAAAAAAATTACAAGGGCAATTTGTTTTCGAATTTCCAATATACTAACTTATAATTACTATCTTCTTTTCTTCTCGAAGTATCAACATGAATATCCTGGAAGATGGAAGAGGTTTAGGAACGACATAAGTACGGAAATTTGTTCTTAAGGCTTTTGATTTTGAATGTCTAAAGTAAGCTTTTATATTAAATTTGCACTACCATATTTCTTCCTTTAAATCGCCAGACACTAAACACTTGGAGCCATCATACAGAGTACAGGAGCACAAGTTACTGGGAACATCACTCTATCGTAAAGAAGAGTTTTCTTAAGTTTTATTTGGATTGTTCTTTCTTTACTTTTTTCCCTTTATGTAAATATCTTGAAGCATGCAGCTACTTTAACTTACGTAACACCTCATTTTATCTCCTCGAGATCGAAAAGAGGGAGCTGAAGAGATTGGCCGAGAACGTGAAGGGGTGATTCGTCCTATAAATTATCATGTATGAGGAAGGCAGAGGCAGAGGCAGAGACAGAGGTGAGATAGAGAGGCAGGAGCCGACCCTAAGTGAGAATGACTTACCGGGGGAGTCAATCAACACGTATGAGGCAGAAAATCGACGAGCCGGGCTCAAGCTTCCTCATGCATCAATCAATGCCGAAGGTGAAGACGACAACTGACAACGACGTATGTGATCATCGAACATAAGGAGATGTGACACTAGGCTTAATGAGGACGACAAAGTTTTTGATTGAAGCCTAAGGAAGAGGTGTCGAGCGGCTCTGGTGCGAAGAAAAAGTGAAGCCCAAGCGTGCGGGATAGATAAGTCAAGAAGGAAAGTCCGTGAGATTTTGTTTCACTCGAATAGGAAGAAAAAGGTGAAGAAGCATCGAGTAGAAGAACAGAGGTGGAGGCGAAGTCGTGCGAGGGAGAGGGAAGGAAGCGGTAGCAAGCTATTGAGGTATAAATTATAACTTCTATATTTTAATAATATAATTTCTTAAATTTGTATTTATGTAATAACATAATATATTATAATAATAATAGTATAAATATAAAAATAAAGTTTACAATTACTTATTAAATTTAAAGTGAACATTAATTGAATACTAAATAAAATATAAATCATAGATGTTCAGTAAGTTGTAATTTTGTTAGTCAAATTAAAGTAACCTGAAGACTTAAAATAAAAGTTTCTAATTAATAATTAAAATAACATAATTAATTAAAAGATTGATTGAACATAATTAATAATATTCTTAAAATATTATTTTTTATTATATTTTAGGTAGCTAACTATTGGAGACAAGATTAAACGTGTTTGAAGATTTAAGACAAGTCATATGGTTTTGAGGCAAGTACTCATATTCTTATGCTATAGTAATATTTTACTTCTCAACCAAATGTATTTATCATTATTGCTATATTTATAACACTGCATACTCATTATTTATGACTCTATTGAATTTTGTTCAAATTGTAGAAATAACATGCACTTAACACTGTTTAAATTATTATAGATATTGAATATTATACAAGTATATTGACTTTTATACTAGATAATGCGTTATATTATGTTGGCATGTGCATGCTTTGCTGTGGTGGAGTTCACTTGTTTATAATACTAGCAGAAGAACACTTAGATACACATACATGTAAATGAAAAAAAATATTGATATTAAAATATCTTAGCTGGTATAATATTTAGACTATGCTCCTGTGACAGTTGTACAAATATAAATGATAAATATTATAAAATATAGTAAGTGATCATATTCATAAACTATTAAATGTTTTATTACTGATTTATTAAGGATTTATTTGACATGCATATTATTCTCTTTCATTATGTTGTTGTAGTCTAGAAGTTTGAGTATTCATTGGTTATCGTTAGCTCGTTTTTTTAAACTAATATTTCATATTTAATTAAGTGATTTAAAAGAAAAGCGACAGAAGATGAAATGTTTATGAAAAGTGTGGTGAATCAGTAATGAGTAGGGTTGTAAACAAGCCACATCGAGCCGAGTACATCATTGTTCGGACTTGGCTTGGCCTAATTATAAGTTGTTCATGTTTGACTTGAGCTTGTGTCGAGCTTTCATACATTGATCAAGCTTGATTTGTTTAACCTTTTTAATATTTGAACTTGATTTTTATTTGATTTGTTTATGACAAGTGAACGAGCATTTAAATGAGCTAATAAACGAGTTAAAAATTCAAACGAAAATTTAGTTTTTCATATAAAAAATTTAATAAATAATATTGTAATTCTAATTGCAGCTACTAATTTGTCGATTATGAACTCTAAATTCTTTGAACTTTAATAATCATCTACATAATTCATACTGATAGAACTACACTAGTTCAAATTTTGGAAGTGAAAGAATTAAATTGATCTGAAAATTTATAGAGATGATCATTTACTTAATCATATTAATAAAAATAATAATAGCAATAAAGCAATCCATATTAATATTATTGATAATTGCAGTGTGATGGCCATAAAAGATGAACCCATTACATTCAAGGTTATGAAAACTTCACAAGAAAAATCTTTTATGACACTCTTTAACTGTAAATATTTTATTCTAAATTATCATTCACTTATTAATAAAAATAAGTATATAATTAATAATTGTACTAAAAAAATTATTGATAAAATAATGTATTACTATTAAATCTATAATTAAATAAATTCTAACTAATTAAATTTTAATTAAATTTTAATTAAATAGTGTATATTATATATAATACGAGTTATTATCGAGCTTAATATCAAGTATTTAACAAGTTACTTGTTGAATGACAAATGAGTTTGCTCGTGAACATATGAACAAGTTCGACTATGTTCATGTTCAATTCGTTTAAGATTCGAGCTTTTAAAAATCGTTCAAGCATGTTTATTTATTAATTTGAGCGAACATGATCGAACCTTAATCGAGTCAAGTTCAAGTTGGTCATCGAGTGCATTGGTTCATTCACAACCCTAATAATGAAATTTAACTGTACTACTTTAATTTACTTTCCTTAATGACTATTTCATTAACTAAATGTTAATTATAAATAAATATACAAAATTTTAATTTCCATCGTTTGACCATTTGTACAAGACTTGGTTAATTTCAAGCTCTGAGTCGAGTCGTGATAATTTAAATATATAAATTTAAACAGGACATAACGAGTTTCACCAAAGTTTCATCAATGCAAAATTCAATGCAATCAAAAGTTAAACTACTCATTAAAAAAAAAAAAACTATTGAAGTACCGTGAGTACAAAATTTTGATTTCGTATGGTAAGGAAATTTTATATAATTCATGCAAGTAGTTTGGTGAAAGGTTATGAGAGTATAATGTAAAATAATACCATTTTTTAGAAAGAAGAAAAAAAAGGGTAAGGCCTAAACCAATTGGTTCACACTCGCCATTGAAATCAGGGAGAAAAAGAAGAAACCATAAAGGAGGTATGCAAAAAGTAATTTTGGCACCAGTGCAAGCAGAAGGCTCAGGGCTGACACACAGGAGAATCACTAGATACACAAATTCCCTCCCCCCTCCCCCCTCCTCGCTTTTTTCTCTTCTTCCTTTCGTGAATTGGAATATCAAATACTTGCAAGTGTAATTTAAGGTACCATAGCTATGGTAGCGAAGAAATTCGATTGACTGGATTTTAAACAAATGAATTGGGCACAATACAGTTCTTGAATGTGCAATAGAATGAGAAGTGTCAGTCTCTTGAATCGATATAGACATAATTGAGTGCCAGACCGATGGCAATAAAGGAGTGATGAAATGCAGCTTTAGATCTCCTTAGGTATTTTATGAGAAAGAACATTCGACAATGGAATCCATGCCCATTTAGAGAAGAAGTCTCTCCTATCTGAGGAAAATGACGTGGAAGCCGTTCGTGCGCGCAAGAATGCAGAATGGAATTCCACGAAACAGGATCCAACATTTCACGGTATCACGATCCTACAATAGCAGCCACCAGGCATTTTCTTGGAGCTTATCGATTTCATTAAATTTCAACCTATATTTTGGGAAGTTTTCACATACTATAACTCTAAACATCTTTATTTGCATATCTCACACTCAACAATTTTAATTTATGGATAAAACACTTCCGTTAACTTCCGTGAACATACTCCGGCTCATCTATATATCCTGCACTTGGCCACATGCCGACGCATTCTGACTTCCTTTCAGTCAGACGGTCTCTCACTGCGGCAAAAATGAATTGTCGGCTTCCACACTGTCATCTCGCTGCGACTGCATCTTAGCAGCTTCTTCCTGCCGGTATTAGAGTGCATGAGGCTAAGGAAAGCCGCTGTGAGGATGGGCATGCGAAAGATAGAAATTTAGTGGGGAGAAGATGAAGCTGGGTCGAGAGAGGATTCGATGCGGCTGGGAATAAATGGGCAGCTGATTCTCAAGCTTGTCGGAGATGTTTGGAGAAAGAAATGATGGAGCTGCTGTCTCTGGCAGCGTGATTTGCTGGGTGGAGTGGTGGGCTGCTTGGACAGTAGAGAGAGCAGGTAAAGTGTTGCCGGCGGGATGGTTTTATGTGGGAGAAATGGATCGCTGAGAGGATTCCAAAGAAAGCTGTGGTGAGTGCGGGAGAGATGAGCTTTGCGAGAGTATGTGACAGACGATAACCGAAGTGCTTTATTCGTAAATCAAAAGTTTATAGTGTGAGATTCATAAATAAAGATGTTTAGAGAGCTATGTATGTAAACACCCCATTTTTTTTTCTTTTTGGTTTATTTCTTATTCATTTATATCCATTTTATTTCCTATTTTACTAAGTAAAACTTTTACCGATAATTGTTATTATTGGGGAGATGTTATATGTTTTATGCTCTTTGGAATATTGTATCATTTCATTTTAACAAGTGGTCGATTTGTATCTTGCTTAGGAATAGGCGGTGGAACCAACTTGTTGCCCATACATTGTCGTTTCGTGGTTCTTCTCGCTGTTTTCAACAACCTATCCCCATCCAAACATAATAGGTCTCTCATATTTTCATTCCCTTGCTGTCCCACAACCACCTCCCCGTATCCACTTCCCAAATACTTGTTAGGAGTCCTAGAACGGTGTCACTTATCCTTCCCCAAAATGTGTAAAAATAAAGAATAATAAGAAATATTTGAACGAAAAAATTTCAAATAAAATTTTTCACATCCATACTTCATTGAGAACTTCACATAGTGATGGAAAAACATGGTAAATTCGGTTATCTGGGTAATTCTAACTAAGGAAATCCCGCAAACAAAGATAACATAAATGGAATAAGAGAATCAATTTCTTATAATATCCTAGAAATTAATAATATGTAGGTATATATATATTGAAGCTTTTTAATATCCATCAAAAATCAATTAACAATATAATTTAAAGGGTAAGTGAAAATGGAACTAGCCGCGCCACAAAATATACAGTAAAATGAATGACTGACACCAGTCTAAGCTAATAATTACAAAAGAAACAAGAATCACCGTTTAAAGATTGCCAGAAAGTCAGCAATAAATAAATGCAGCTAGGAAAGTTAAGTACCAAAAAGGTAAGAAGGCTTTGGGCACTATACTCGTGAAATGTTTTTGCACTAAATAAATTTCGAATTGCATCATCCTGCACAGAAGATATGTTCACTATTTGAATATAAAAAGAACTGCGTGGTTAAAAAAAAAATAAAGGTGTACGATACTTAAAAAAGGCTAAGCTCTTAAAAAAGAACCTGGGTATTGAAAAAAATGGTTGCAAGATCATTGTATTCTTTGTTTGTGCTGCAGAAAAACTGCTTGCAACATAAGTAACATGAAAAAAATAAAAACAAGAAACAAATAAGAAGGGACATAATATAAACCAATGTACAGCTGTAGATTGTAAAGTCAGCCGGATCACCCGGAAAAAAAAAGTTCAAATATATCTTACATTTACGAAATTTCCATCAATTCCAGGTGGGCGAGGACATTCAATATCAGGATTGGTTTCTGAATTAGGGCATGGGCTGCATTTCCTTAGAAGTGGTAAACCAAAAGAAATTACTGATGTCATAAGAGATATAAGTAAAACTTCAATTATCTGTGACAATACAAAACAAAAAGTAGTATTAGTTTTCCATCATCAGATGCATGCTAACAGAAGAAACTTCTAGTGACGGGCTGTAGCATACCCTGATCTTATTCCCCTTTTTATGTAGACAGTTTCTGCGCCAGCTAGATATATACAGAGTGAGCTGATTGAACAGAGCCCCTAAAAGGTAAAAAAAATAAATAAAACAATTCTGCAAAAATACCTAGCTAATTGGTAAAAGTCTGATATGAAGACAAGTAAAAAATTGATTTAAAAAAAAAACAGCACTTAAAGAGTGACAGTGGTTTAAGGAAATGATTAGAATATGTATCATAAAAGAAACATACCCAAAAGGCCTCCAATAATGCCGATTATAGCCATGGGCAGTAACTCCTGAAATGAATAATCTTCTTGACCACTTTGTCATTAACAAAATTAATTAGAATGCAAGATCAGTGTGAAACAAAATAAGGAATAACTTTTAATATCACAAAAAGTACTAACCCAGATATATCCCAGATGATAAAGCCACCAGACCCAAAATGGCCACACTTTCCACTCTTACACCAGGCCATTGCAGTTCTTACCACAACAGCCACGATAGCAGATGTAAAAAACACTCTCCACATAAGCTGGCTCCGCCACCTTTAGGCATAAAATGCATGCAACAAGTAAATAAAAAGCTATAGAATTCAAAAGAGACTGGCCAAAACATGTTAGAAATAAATGAAAAACATAGAAGAGCTTTAAAACGTGACTGAGCACCATCAGCTGTGCAATGGATCATGAACTGCAGGGTTGATTTAGCAAACAACTAATCTCAAAATTAATAAATAGAACTTACATACATACACTTAAATCTTCTCTAGTTGCATATTTAACACCCAATTCTACAATTTAATCTTTCTATTTCTCAATATTCAAACAACATAAAAAATAACATTAATCCAACAGACTTCCTCCGTCCCCTCACATGCATCCACACCACGAGTGCCTTTCCTGGTCAAGCATTTTGTAGAGCAGTTGTTTGATTCTCAAAGTCGATTTCTAAAATAGTTTCTAATTTGTAATATTATGATGATGAATAAAGATTTGATAAAAGTCTAATTTTTGGTACATGAAGAATAATGAAGTTCCTAGAGAACATAGCAATGGTGGAAAAAAAATGGGCACAGAAGAATGCTCATTAGTAAAAGTGAGCCTCTTATTTTATTCTTTCAGTAGGTTTCATATGCTTTCATTTGTTTGTGTTGGTGAAAGCTTTCAAAAGAGGTGAGAGAATTAGAAGACGGAATAGAAGATGACTAAAAGATTGGAGCAAGATTTAGATATCTTAAGTTAAGAGACTTTCATGTCTACTGAAGTTTGATGTCTGTTTTACCACAATTATTGCCAGTCTCCCTCAAAAACAAACTGTTACGTCTATGCCTAATTTAAGGGAAAGTTTGTCTTTTGTATGGCTAAGAGCACTTTAGTCTTTTATTATTACTGTTATTGGGTATAAATATGTTTATTATGTCTAGGGTTAGTTTTTATGCATGAGATTGAGTTTTGAGTCTTAGGTTTAGGGTTTGGGAGAGAATTCCAACCTCTCGAATTGTAGGAATTGGGAGAAATCACGTACATCTTGAATCGTAGGTGCTTATCTAAGTATTCTCATTGAGTTTTTTAAATTACTGAAATAAAAAATTTGTTTGATACTAGTTTTTGTGGAGAATTGTTTCGATTTTCGTTTTGAATCATATCAAATTGATATCAGAGCATGTTTCTGAGAGCTCAGAAGTTCCTTTGTGACTGAACACCTCCGACATCAAATCCTAGCAAAGAAGGCCTTGACTTGATCGCAACCTACAGAAAGTTGTAACACGCGTCTTTCGTAAGTTGTGTCGTCTCTTTCCCATTTTTTCCGCGAGTACAACCATTGCAAGGCAAGCGATGAACGGATCACGACTTATTGAGACCCGAAACTCCCTTCTTCGCCTCCTCCCACACCGTTTGCATAAAATCACAATCAGAGCGAGCCGGGAAGGCCCCGTCATGAAGGAATTGTGGTTTACAGAGACCCGAAGCTCCCATCATTTATCTCCTCCTGCGTAACATAGCCGCATGCAAGGCATGTCGAAAAACGAAGGAATCGTGGCTTACTGAGACCCGAAACTCCCTTCTTCCCCTCCTCCCGCGCCATTTGCATACAGTTGCGATCAGAGCGAGCTGGGAAGGCCTTGAAACAAAGGAATCATGGCTTACCGAGACCCAAAACTCCTTTATCTTCCTTCTGCTCCGTCGTTGCTTACGGTCGAGATTAGAGCTAAATAGGCAAGCCTTCAAAAGAATTACAGCCAGTCGAGGATCCGCAACTCTGGTCCTTTTTCTCCTCTGTCTTCCCAACACAGACGAGATTAGAGCTAGCTAAGATGGCCACATAGGGACTGCGACGTACAAAGACCACAAACTTCTGTCTTTCTCCTCCTTCCACTCTGTCCTCGCAATACACTAGCGAGATGCTGGTGTCAACATCCAAGTCCCCAGAAGTCAGCGACCAAATCAGGCGTACCCTCGGAACGAAAGCTCATGTAATGGGAAGCTAATAACAGAATTACGAATTCCTGTTGGGATGCAAGCTAGCTGGGAAGCCAACCACAAGATCGCGAGTTTAGAAATCCTAAAAGAAACAATAACAGTAAAGAAAGTAGATGCTTTGGAGGATAAATTAGAAAAAGGTGTGAACCAAATCAAATTCAAGATGGAAGAAATGTTCATCGCCATAGAAAATAGATTTTTTTCCTTAAAAAGTCGAATGGAGGATAAATTTAAGCACACAAGGGAAATGCAAGAAATAATGAACAAGATAGTGGAGTTTCACACAAAACCAACACGATTCTCCACAAAAATTAGTACAAAACAGTTTTTTATTTCAATAATTCAAACAACTCAACGAGGATCAAAAAATAAGCACCTACGATTCGATTCGAGAGGTAGGTGATCCTGATCCCTCCCAATTCCTATAATTCGAGAGGTAGGAAATCTCTCCTAACCCCTAAATCTAAAATTCATAACTCAATCTCATGCATAAAAGCTAGCCCTAAATATAATAAGTCTATTTATACCCAACAATAACAATAATAATAAAAGACTAAATTGCCTTAGACCAGGCATAGACGTAACACAAACCAAACAGATGTCTCTCCTCCCATAAAATGTGTACTAATAGCTTCACTTGTCCTATAAATGACACCAACGTCGTTTTGTGAGTTCTATAGAACCTATTATCCAAAAGATTTCTTTTCTATCTTAGGTCAATGAAGGTGTAAAAAAACTCAGAGAGAGAGAGATATATAGAGATCCGAAGCTACCCTAAAATAAAAAACTTTTCACGCTATATCATTAGCAAATGTCTCTTACAGAGGTCTAAAACTAGTCAAGATTCTAAAAACAAGAATTTCATAGCTTGAGAGAAAATTAGAGGGGTCACAGGGGCTCTTTCTCCAGTGCGGTGCAATAGGGTAGGGATGCAGAGGAGATGTGGCCAAGTGAGGGGATGGAGAAAACTATGGGAATTAATGGAAGCGAAAAATAGTAATAATTGTAATATTGTCTAAATAGTTAATTGATAAAGGAGTATTCCATAGAATTAGCAGATAAATGCATAAAGAAAGTGGATTTAAGTGTCATGCATGTAAATCCGCCGAATAAATATTCATTGCATCAGAAACATAAAAGATTGATATGCCATGTCACATGGATTGAATCTCCTCTAGCTGAGTTTTATGTGAAATCCATAAATGTATGGACAAAGAAGTATTTGAAAAGAAAAAGTTAAAATCCAATAAGAAAATAATATTTCAACATTAAATAAAACGAGAAGACTCCTTGATCAGTTTTCTTCAAAATTCGATGGAGTAAGAACATGATACAATAAGAGCATATAGGCCTTAGTTGTTTGTCCGCAAAATTGGATTTTATTCCGTCTATCATTATAATAAATGAAAAGTAACTATTTTGAAATGTTGGTTGCTACATGCCAAATTTACCAAATAACATTTTAGATACCAAGCTCTAAGGATCAGTTTCATGAAAGTAGGTGAATGGTTTAAGATATTCAAATTTCTTTTTAGCAAAATGAAATGCAAGAATATTAGATCAGTTAAAGAAATTGACTACCTATTGCAGGGTAAGGATCAAGTATTAAAAGATGAAGGAGAGAAATGAAGAAAGCTTAAACGCAGCAAATTGTGTGAATGATGACATGACTAGGCCTGAATGACATGACTAGGTCTTCCCTTTAAACAACCAAAACCAAAACCAGTAAATTACATGGATTGCAGAAGATAACGTTAAAAAAACTCAATAAACTATTAATAACAGAAAGATGGGATTGGGTGAATCAGGCATAACATAGTTCACTAATGCACAAAGTTATAAAATAATAGTGGTGAGAACATTTAAAATAATAGAGGATATCTATTAGTGCTTAAGGCTGGTCATAAGACCATGAGTGAAATCCAAGTAAGCATATTGTTGCTGAGGCAGCATGTAGCATGATTTGCAGCCAAAAGATATCATGCCTACCAAGATGTTACATCCATGCCTAGTCTAAGGGCAAGTTCGTCTTTTGTACGACTAAAGATAATTTAGTCTTTTATTATTATTGTTGTTGGATATAAATAGGCTTATTATATTTAGGGTTAGTTTTTATGCATGAGATTGAGTTGTAAGTCTTAGGTTTAGGGCATGGGAAAGATTTCCAACCGCTCAAATTGTAGGGAATTAGGAGAGATCTCCTACTCTCGAATCGGAGGTGCTTATTTTTGTATTCTCATTGAGTTGTTTAATTTATTGAAATAAGAAATCTACTTTGCACTAATTTCTGTGAAGAATCATGTCGATTTTTATTCTGGATAGTATAAGAATTGACACAAGTCTCCAAATAAATTAGTACAAAAAATATTTCTTATTTTAATAATTCAAACAACTCAACCGAAATACAAAAATAAACACCTATGATTCGAGAGGTAGGTGATCTCGCCCAATTCCTAGAATTCGAGAGGTAGGAAATCTCTCACAAACCCTAAACCCAAGACTCACAACTCAATCTCATGCATAAAAACTAACCATAAAAATAATAATCATATTTATATCCGACAATAATAATAATAAAAGGCTAAATTGCCCTTACGAATACAAAATACAAATTTGCCCTTATACTAGGCATAGACGTAACATAAACCAAATAGATGTCTCTCCTCCAATAAAATGCGTACTGATAGATTCCCCTCTCCTATAAATGACAGCTCCGCCATTTTGTGAGTTCTATACAACCTATTATCCAAAAGATTTCTTCTCTAACTTAGGTCCATGAAGGTGCAAATGAACTCAGAGAAAGAGATATATATACAGATCTGAAGCGACCCTAAAATCATAAAATTTTCATCCTATATCATTAGCAAATGTCTCTTATAGAGGTCTAAAAACAAGAATTTCAAAGCTTGAGATAAAAGTAGAGGGGTCACAGGGTAGGGATGCAGAGGAGATGTGGCCAAGGGAGGGGATGGAGGAAACTATGGGAATTAATGGAAGCAGAAAATAGCAATATTTGTAATGTTGTCTAAATAGTTAATTAAAGGAGTAGTTCATAGAATTAGCAAATAAATGCATAAAGAGAGTGGATTTTAACTGTCATGCATGTAAATTCGCCGAATAAATATTCATTGCATCAAAAACATAAAAGATTGATATGCTAGGTCATGTGGATCGAATCTCCTCTAGCTGACTTTTTTTGTGAAATCAATAAATGTATGGACAAAGTATTATTTGAAAAAAAATTAAAATTCAACTAGAAAAGAATAGTTCAACATTAAATAAAAAGAGAAGATTCTTTAACCAGTTTTCTTCAAAATTCGATGGAGTAAGAACATGATACAATAAGAACGTATAGGCCTTAGTTGTTTTCCAGCAGAATTGGATTTCATTCCTTCAATGATTTATAATAAACGAAAAGTCACTATTTTGGAAAGTTGGTAGCTACATGCCAAACTTACCAAATAAATTTTTAAACACCAAGCTCTAAGAATCAATTTCATGAAAATATGTGAATGGTTTAAGATGTTCAAATTTCTTTTAAACAAAATGAAATGCAAGAATATTAGATAATTAAAGAAATTGACTACATTTTGTAGGGTAAGCATCAAGTATTAAAAAATGGAGGATTAAAAAGAAGAAAGCTTAAATGTAGCAAATTGCCTGAATGAAGACATGACTAGGCCTTCCTTTTAAGCAACCAAAACCAAAAACAGTAAATTACATGGATTGCAGATGATAACATGAAAAAACTCAATAAACTATTGATAATAGAAGGATGGGATTGGGTGAATCAGGCTTAACATGGTGCATTATAAGCACGAATTGACAATGTTATAAAATATGAACGGCGAGAACATTCAAAATAAGAGAAGATATCGATAGTGCTAAAGGCCGGTCATAGGACCGTGAGTGAAATCCAAGTAAGCATACTGTTGCTGAGGCATCATGTAGCATGACTTGCAGTCAAAAGAAATCATGCCTACCAAGATGTTACTTCTTCTAAAGCAAAGAGCACGCCGCCAACTGGAGCTCTAAAAGCAGCAGCAACCCCAGCTGCACATCCACAGGTCACCTTTCAAAAACCAAAAAAATGAAGAAAAAAAAGTTACATCAAATCAAAATTATATACAGGAGTCAAATCATAAGGATAGTCTGTATTGATATCCGTTAAGTTTCAATGCAAGCACTAACCATTGAAAAGCATGATATTCAATGGCCCGTGGAGGAAATTGAAAGATTTATACTTGCATTAGATATTGCAGCACCAAGCATGCATGCAAAAGACTGAAAAAAATCATTGATGTATTCAGAAGAACTTACTTCAGTTCCTTCCTATTTTGATTGAGATAAATTAAATCATGAAAGAGAGAAAGAGAAACAATGGGCTTATTTTTTCAACCAAATTAATGATAATATGATAAAAACAAAGTTTAGCAAGGGCAAGTTAATAAATCCAAACAGCTAGCATCCACCACACAGCATAAACGCCTACTCCTTTGTTTCCTACATGTCCCTCAGAAGCTTGGACACACATTTCTCAACCAAAAAAAAATGACACGCTCCACACTGTTGACTTCCCACAATCTCATTTTCTCCATATTAACCAACCATCCGTGAGTAGCCATACAATTGAGGATGATTTTTCCAAACAATTGTATATGCAGCAATGTAGCCATAACAAGATCATCAATTATTAAAACATAATTCCTGTAAGTTCAAAAAATAATATTCTTTACTTTATAATGTGAAAATGGATTTTTATTTACCAGGTTTTTATCAATGCCGTTAATAGCTGAGCAAGTACCAGCAGCAGCGTCCATATGCAACTTGCAAGTATGAATTACCATCCACAACTTTCATCATCTGTTCGCATTCTCAGGAAGTAGTCTATCGTGCATAATTCAGTTAAAAGTTGAGCTTTAAGCAATACAAATCTTTGAGAAGCCTTGCCACAGCAAGCCAATCTATAGAAGTGTATGTTAACACGATTTTTGGGTGCATTCTTCACACTAGGATCCTTTATATCTCACCTATTCTCTCTAGCCTATTTAGGAGATATCTTTCAAACATACACACTTAGATCTTCTATTGCGGCACATACACTAGGGCTGTCAAAAAAGCTCGTTGTTCGCGAACAGTTCGTGTTCGGTTCGTCAATGAGTTTGTGTTCGATTTGTTCGATAAGTAGACGAGACGAACATGAATAAATTATTTTTGTTCGGTTAGTTAAATGAACCAAACACGAACAATGATGCGTTCGTTCGTGTTCGAATCGTTATTGTTCGAAAAATAAAATAATTTAAAATAATTATATATAAAAAATTAAATTTTATAAATTATAATATATAGTAAAATAATAATAATAATAGTATATTAATATACTATATTAGTAATATGCTGAGATATATATTATATATTTATATAATATAAGTTATATAATTAATTTTTATATATTAATATTAGGGATGTCAAACTAGCTTGTTGTTCGCGAATAGCTCGTGTTCGACTCATTCGTTAAGAAACGAACACGAACAGTAACTTCACGAACAATTTCAAACACGAGCTTATTTCAAACGAATCGAACACGAACACAAGCTTTGTTCGTTCGTGTTCGGTTCGTTTACACCCCTAACATACACCCAATAGAAACCTTTCAAAGTTTATGGTCAATCAACTGATATTCTAGTTTTGACTCATTCCAATCAATTTGGATTACTAAAGACCTCATAGATTCACTCAATTTTTAGTACATACACTAACTGTTCGCTAGTTTCACATTCTCCTATTGATTGACTTAGTTAGATCTCTTTTCATATATTGGATTTTCTATCCTGGTCTTTTTATAAATCGAGCCCATCACTGACCAACTCATTAACCCAAGTACTATATACTACTTTGTCAACCTACGACTGACAAATCGACTACGCCAAACTCACTAACCTTCCCCTTACTAGACCATTGGCTTGGTCAAGTCCACCCATCACATAGAGACAAAAAACTCGGAACATACACGCAGCCAAATCAGCTCACATCCTACATTAGAGAGACCCAGGCTAATCAAGCTAAACTATAGATCAATCCTCAGCAAGTCTAGAGTTTAGACCATACAATCCACCCTGTGGCATAACCTAGGACTCCTAGGCTAGCCAAAAGACACTACATATTAATTCTAGACTCCTTAGACTTGGCTTGGCGTATCAGGCCAATTATAACTACCACCGAACCTTCTCTATTGGTTTTATGTTAACCCTTGGCCAAACCAATTTGACCTGAACCATATCAAGGACAGTGAGACCCACTCTCATGTCTCTAATCCAAAATGACCCACTTAGGACTCATTAATCAACCTTAAGCCTATTAGGTTAGATCGAGTCAACTTTAGATCAAATAGGTCTCGATTATCAAACATTGACCGATTACGACCTCCAAGGGTAGATTATAGTCAACTATAGCAAACCATAAGACACATTGCACCTGAACAAAAATTGTGTTAGTAATTACTTGCAACGAGAAACAAGAATTTCTAATAAGGCTGCAACAAAAAGGGCTACAAAATAGAAAATTAGGTGGGAAAAAAAGAACTATAGTACTGAAGATTTATAAGTTCTAGGCATTAGAATGATAAGAATATAAATTTTTATTAATAATGAGGCTCACTAATTCATGGGCTATCCTATCAATCAATGAGATGATAGCAATGATCCCATCAATCATGCGCTGAACGAGAGAATAAAGAGAGTGAGCAAGCAGATAAAATGGTTGGTAGGCTAGTAGTGCCAACAAAACGCATTTGTAAAGGTAGAAGACTTGTAAGATAGAAATTTCATAGTTGGGAGGCAAACAACTGCCGAAGTAATTCTCAATATTATTTATTTAAATATACCAAAAACTTATATTATGTGTGAAAGCTAATGTTCGCAATAGAAAATGTGGCCTAGAAATGATAAATTAGAAGGTTCACTTTGAAACTCACTCGACACGGCTTATTTGTCATTCTAATTCAAGAAAGTCTCACTTAAGAAAAAAACGAACGGTTTCCACCATATGATCAACCATAAATAAAATAGAGTTTTAGAAGTTTATCATTAACTATAAAATATCTCCGCGGAGCAAAATATTTTTAGAATTTTCAACTATGCCTATTTAAAATAAGGAACAAATTTTTAATAATTTAAATATATGAAAGGCATCAAATCGGATAACAATTTCATTAACATTACTAGTAATTTAAAAAGCATTAATTATCTATTTTTTATAATAGTTTGAATAAAATAAATACCGTCCCTATAAATTACCTAATTCATCCATTTTTTTAATCAATACTACAAATAAATATTGCTAAATATTCCACTAAAATAAAATAATAATAAAACTTTAGTTCCAACTATTTTTATTCCTAAAAACATATCTACATATTAAATTAACCACATATCAAAGCAAGCATTCGCCAAAGTGCCTAAGCAGCGGGCTCCATCACTATGACATTGCCAAGAATAGAACATTGATACAAGGTGCATAGCGTAAGGGCTCTCGCCTGTGTGATTAATTTTTTTAAGTATCCACAATCATATTATAACATGGAGAACTACAAAACTTGTAGCGCTCGGCTTTTATGTAACACTAGTGTTACAATCAAGAGTAAACAAATCAAGCTTTTAAGAGAGGATGGGTGAGGGGTAATTGAGCAAGCACCCTTAACTCTAATTATGACGAATTCAAAAGAGAAAAAACAAAAGGCAGAGTAAAGTGGATCGAAAGAGGAAGAAAAAGCAAATGGGATCGTGTGTGAGATCGAGAGCAGCACAGAGCGATCAGCGTTGCGAGACAAGCCAAATTGAGCTAGTGAAAGCAACCTTAGGCTTGTGTTCGAATACCCAAATCAACGAGCTAATGTGTGTTAAATAGAAATCCAATAACGAAGACGAGAGTGGCATGTATCGCAGGGCAGAGTAGATCGAGTGAGCCTTGTGCTCATGTTGGATATGCAAGGTGTTTGAATGGGGTAGTAAGAGATTGCAACCCCGCATGCTATAGCAACCGAGCGAGTGCAATTGTTGTTTCAACATCATGAATTGTAGCAATTTTTTTAGCAGGTGTTATGGTGTGTGCGAGGCCAATGAGCAGTGATATGGACAATTGAACTTTACGATTCTTGACTGAGTCAAAGCTTCTTGAGCACAAGCTAACTGAATGTCAAGAGGTAACTTATTTTATCTTAATTTGGTTATTATTTATAAAATGCATTATGGACTTTTCAATCTTTAGTAATGAAAATTTCATATTGATATATGATTCTATTAAATCAATTAATTTGATTAAGAAATTTTAATATTTAGAGCATAAATTCAAAATATCAAAAGACTTGAAATAAATTTCAACAACAACAAGACTTTATCCCACTAAATGTGGTTAGGTACATTAATTATTTTTCTTCGTTGCATCCCATTGAGCGCAGAGTTGTGAGTTTAGCTCGAAGATCGTTAATCATTCAAAAATTGATTTGAATTTTGGCTCTGATCGAAATCAGATCGAAATAAATGAGTCAAGCTACGAGCCAAAATTTTAGATCGAATTTTTTACAAGCCAACCCCAACTCAGCTCAAAATAGAATGGTTCGCAGCATTAGTGTTGTCAGGGTCATGAATTTAGCAAATTTAGCTTGAAGATCGTTAATGGCTCAAAAATCGATTCGAATTTTGGTTAGGATCGAGATCGGATCGAAATAAAAGAGCCGAGCTACAAGCCAAAATTATGGATCGAATTTTTTTCGAGCTGGTTTTGAGTCGACTCCAGCTCAACTCGAAATTGGATGAATAACAGCCCTAATTGAGTGTCATATTTTCACTGATTATAATAGATTAAGATCATTTTTCATATAAGATGCCCAAGACTTTTTAGGTCTACCTTTTCCTTTCTTAACATAAGTCGATTCTAAAACATGCTCTCATAATTGGGTCATCAAATGATCGACGTTTAATGTGACCAAACCATCAAAGATGATTCTCTCTGATCATGTCCGCCTCTGGAGCTACACCAACCCTACCTCGGGTATATTCATTTTGCATTTTGTCTATAAGTTTCAAGCCACTCATTTATCTAAGCGTTCTCATCTCAGCAACAATTAACTTTATTTAATGCTTCTCTTTTAAAGACTAACATTCTGCATCATAGAACATTGCAGGTGTCATCGCCATCTTATAAAATTTTCCTTTAAGTGGAATCAAAATATTAATCAATTTAATAAGAAATTAACTTAATTATTAAAAAGAGCAATGAGAACCAAAATACAGAAGTAAAATAATATTAATAATAATAATTGAAAAATAATTTAATTAACAGAAACTTGTTTGAATCTTAAAGTTTAATATTATGTGCTAAAGGTTCTTAGGGTTAACATAAAAGTTATCGTGATGTCAAGTTGGTAACTCAAATATTGAAAATTTAACGTGATAATTGAGATAAGTAATTATACTTCTTAATTACAATAATGTTTCTTACGTCTAAATTTATTCCCGATTTCAAATTTTCCCATTTATATTCTATACCAAAAAAATATAAACTACATCGTATCCTTCATATTGGCAAACATGAAAATGTGTATTTTAAATAATCGTATAATAATTTTTCTAGGAATGCATAAGTCTTTTACATGACTTTTACATTCAATTAGAATGATATTTATTCATTAATAGATGAATATATAGTGTCTCATAAGAAAATAATGTGTTTTGTAGAATAAAATGTAAATGTTGCATATATGAATAGTTTGTATGTGCATGAAGATAAAAGTTCACCCCCTTATGATACTAGTTGGAGACAACCGCATCGTAGATATGTTTCTAGCAACTTAAACAATCGTGAAATTTAGATCATGAATCATTATACTGACAAAAACATATCAGTCATGGGTGAGTAGGTATATTTCTATCTCAAATAGAAGACATGTTCAAAGCCCACCATGTTGATGGGGGTATCAATCGGCCAAAATTGTTTTATGTTATGTTTATAAGATGTTCCTAAGACGGATGTACAAATTTAAAAGTATGAAGTATAATAAAAGCTAAAACATTAAAAAATAAAACAAATGTTAATGCCTATAGAAATTATAGATTTCTTTCATAAGAAAATGACATTAATATTATTATATGATTTTTTTACGATGTAATAATACGATCACATATATATTGATTTCTTTGTATTGAATTAGTATAGATCTACTAGGTTATTTTAAATAACTCATTATGTTCTTTTAATATTCTAGGATAAAAATGAGAGATAGAAGACTAGATCATTAATGGGTAAACACAAGACCAAGGTATGCTATTCGAACACGAATTTTTGTTTTAACCAACTTTTGCTCTTTCTTTATTTTTGAATTTAAAATTATATAAAAACGAATTTCACCGTCCAAACATCGATTCTCGCTTCGAAATTCCAAGTCCCAGGGGTCGGGCCATGAAAAAAAGAACATCAGACAAAAGATTTAGATTAATAACATAAAACTAAATAATAGAACTAATATATTTGTGATTTTTAATCATAATTAATTTAAGTGATTTAAGTTAGGTTAACTCTAACTAGATAATTTTATTTTTATCTTAAACATATGGATGCTCAAGAGAAGATGAGGGATGCTCATGTGGCGGGAGAGAAATTATCACTCAAAACAAATGCTTCTATATCAAAGTTTAAAGAAAATAGAGGTATATTTGCTATGGATAAACATTTGAAGATTTTTTAGCTGATTTAATTTGAATGATAAATTTTTTAAGTGTTTTTAATTGTTAATTAAAATTATGATCAAATTTATACATTTTAAAGTTTTTGAACAGACTAACTGTAAATGCTGTCAATACCAGCTTATTAAAGTATATTATAAATATATGAAAAAACATATCTTTATATTAAATTTATTTTCAAGAAAATCAAATTAGTTTCGAAGTTCAAATTATATTATACATTTTTTTTAATTTTGAGTTGTTTAAAATTTTCAGTTTTAAACCAAATTATCAACTTATTTAAGAAGCAAATTTAAAAAAGTTAAAAATATAATCTTTTATTTATCATTTTATTATTTAAAAATATCAACTTTTCAAAAAAAAAAAATAAAACCGTCAATATCAATCTCAAGCTAAGATGAAAAAAATGAAGATATTTTTAAAATTAATAATTTGTGCCCTTGTTGAAAAAAATTTGCAGGCGTAGCCCCTGATTATATACACGAACAGTTTGTATATGTATCATGATAGGAATTCATTGTCTTGCGATATTGGTTGGAACGACAATGCACTCGCACATGTAGATGTTTTCCAACTATTTAAGATAATTATGAAATTTAGATCACAAACTATTGCGCCAACGAAAATATATCGATCAGGAGTATGTTATGTTATGTTTAAGAATATGAAATACATTAGAAGCTAAAATATTAAACTTCGAAAAAGAAAAACAAATGTTAATGCACATAAAAATTTTAGATTTCTTCCATGAACAAAAGACAATGATATCATTATATGATTTTCTATAAGATACTTAATAAATTCAACATACATATTGTTCATTGGTTTATTATAGTTTAGAAGTCTAATTGCTTCATTGGAATATTTTAGATAACTCATTATATTATTTTAATATTTTCATATAAAAATAAATGATATAAGAGAGACTGTGTATCGTAGACGGGTCAAGGCTAGAGCAAGGTATGTTGTTTTAATATATATATATATAATATATATATATAGCATTTTTTCTCTCTTTCTTTGTTTTTGGATTTGGAATTACTAATTAAAGTTGAATTTCATAGTTCAAACGTCTGTTCTGGTCATGAATATTTCAAGTTCCCGAGATGGGTCATGACAAATCTAATGATAGGAAGAGAATATGGGTGATAAAGAAGATGAAATAGATACTAGCAAAGATTAGATTAACAATTTAAGTTTTTATTTGCTTGTTCAAATCTGAAAAAAAAAACTTTAGAACCTTGTAACTTTGCCTCAAACACTCTACCCAATAAAATTGTTATTTACATAATTTGAATGAAACAAAAGTTGTAAATATTTTTTCCCCATCTACATTTTAATTATGTTTTCAGAGAAATATCATATTTTATGCTATAAAAGTATGAAATTATTTATAGCTTCAGTTCGCCTAAGTTGATGCCTAATGCCTTCGTCACTGGGATGTCTTGCCACCCTGAAGGCGTATAGCATACTTAATAAAATATATTTTATCATTAAATTTTAGTAATTAAATCCTTAAGCAACTTTTTAAATTGTTAAACTTTTAGACTAAAATAACCTTGTGTATTGACATTGACATTTATAATTCAACATTATTCTGTTGATTCAAGAAATACCAGTAACGCAGAATAAATAAAAAAGAAAATATAATAAAAAATAAGACAGCATGAATTCTAAACACAAAAATAGAAATATCACTTCAAATAGTGTGCATAGAGATAAGATGCAAAATAGCACCAATGCCTCAAAGCAAATGCATGCCTTCATCTATGAGTTATTGAGGTACTGTTAATTTTAAATTTGACTCTCATTTATTAAAAATAGCAATTAAACAGAAATTAAAGTAATTAATTTACAAAACATATTCCATGTAATCAGATTCGATTGGCATGATTAGTTCAATGCAACACGCATGCCAAGAGTTACAAGAGACTCATAATTGCCCGCATTGTAATGCAAAAAAAATTGAGATTAGACCTCAAAGCTCACGATAAAAAGTTAATAACCATATATTAGGACTAATTAATTTTTCATTTTAGTGCTTGACAAAAAAACCATTGTGAGTTAGGATGTTATTTTAAATTTAATTTCTATTTCACAATAGTATAATCATAAACTATTTCAAACTGTTATTACATGCAAATTTAAAATATACTAACTTTAATTTTTGAATGAAAACATTGCCTACATGCATTTAGAGAATGGACATTTTTCCTGGTTCAGCATAAAAGGCCATGAACAAAAGAAATTTAAGGTTCAGCCATTTCACATTCCAAAGGATCTAGAAAAAACAAAAACAAAAACAAAAAAAAACTAAATATTTTTTTATAAAAGCAACTTACGAGATCACGCCTTTCTCGATCACTCTCAAATGGGCGTAGCCATGATGAACTGAAATGATATTTTGTAGACCCGCCCTGCAGTCAGCCAAATCATTGTGATGCAACCATGTTAGCCAAGTGGAAAACTATATATTAGCAAATAGCAATTTGCTAAGATACAATCATCATTAGAGTAGAAGCATCTAACCCGCCTTCAGGTCAGTGTCTTACTCCTTCCCATTTCAATGTTGTTTCGATATGTCAACAAAATGTTTCATATTAATTTACTTTAAACAAAACTTTCAGCAAATTTTATTTTAGTAAATAAAAGAAATTATATGATGAATTCTGGAAATATAAAAAAGAATGTGTATCAAAACTACAAGCATCAAGAGAAAGCAAAACTAGTATAATAGAATTCGTCCTAATCAGCATCATTACTGACCTTACCCCAAAATTTTGCAGCCAGCACTTAAACATAAGAACCTGTAAATACATTTACACATGTGGAACTATTTTATTTCATAAAAGCTCCTGGAATGGCACAATTCAGAAGGAAGATGCAGAACTTTCTAAATAAAGTCTCTAGCAAACGATTAACCAAAAGAAAAAATTAAATCCTGAAACTTCAAAAAACATACAATTCTTAAATGCAAATTGGTATACAAATTAAAAGAAACATCCTGGTTGTGTTCAAGATGAGGCCTGCAACTAACTAGTGACGACAGGGACTTTATTGAAAAACAATGAATCCGAGTGATTCATATGGTGAGAGAGATGAATGGGCCAACAAAAAATGAAATTCCTTTCTATAGATGAATGGGCCAACAAAAAATGAAATTCCTTTCTATGTTCATGGATTGAATGATATGCCTTGTTACTAAAATCAGCGAACAAAACACAACGAAACGGCAATAGATAGGAGGAAGAAACACAAACAAGGGCTGCTCCTACGAAAATCAAAGTAAAACAAGCAATATACAAGGTTGATCTACTTTCAAGAGGTAGATCATCTCTCCCGCACCCTAGACGTCGTTAGGAACACCACGAAGAAAGAAAAACAAAAACAAGCATAAAAGAAAGCAAACACTATGTTCCCCTTAATAGAATCCCCTTATAGCATTTCAAAGATTTCCCTTCTTAACTTTACCTGCAAACTCCTTTAATTTATCCTCCTTACATAGGTGATTATGGCCCTGGTGGAACCCAAACTTTCCTTTCTCTCTTCTGCGACTCCATCAGTTTGCTCCCTTTCTTCTCGTCGCCAATACCGGCCAACCTATGTGTCGGTTCCACTGCTTCCAGCTGGACTGGTGCGTGTAAGGTTTAAGAGGACGTAATAGTACTCCCTTCCCAAAAAAGTGTCTTGTTCTCAAGGTGGAGGAACTGAAACTGCTTCTGGATCACCTAGCATTCTCTTCCATTTGACCACTACCTCCTTTGCCCCCTAAACCTTGACACACTGATTCGATCTCTAACGGTTCCAAAATCACATCCAAGTCTTTTGTCAATGTTGGCGGTAATGTAGGCGAGGGTGTACTGTGATACATGGAAGACCGATTGTAATGCAGATAATGGAGGTAACCTAAAACGGTAGGTTACCGCCCTGATGCGTGTCATCACCTCATAAGGCCCACAGTATCTTTGTGACAGTTTCTCGCTCCTCATAGCCAATGTATTTTGTCGGTAGGGCCTCAGCTTCTAAACCATATTCCCTGTCTGAATTGCACTTCCTTCATGTGCCCATCCGCTTTCCTCTAAATGATTTTTTGATCCCTCAGAGATGTCTCTTGAGTTTTGCTAGTATCCTGTCCCTCTCCTCCAAGTATTGATCAACGTTGGATACTTATGTAATGTTATACTCATAATGTATCAAGTGAGGTGGATCTCGCCCATACAATATATTGAAAAAGGTTGTATGTTCTGCGGTGTGGTAACCAATATTTGGCGCAATCCACTTAGCCCATGACTTCAAAGTATCATATACAAAATAATGCGGGCATGTCTCCACACTTCTGTTGACCACATCCGTTTGCCCATCGGTACGGGGATGATATGCTATGCTCCTCTTGAGGACTGCCCCTTGCAACCTGAACAACACTTTTTAGAAGTGGCTAAGAAACACCTTGTCCCTATCTGAAACAATTGATTATAGTACTCCGCGCAAACAGATCACTTCCCAGATAAACATCGTCACGACTAAGACCGCTATGTTGGGATGTCGTAAGGGAATGAAATGTGCATACTTACTCAGGTGATCCACAACCAACATGATCATCGTGAACCCTTCTGATCGTGGCAATCTAATGATGAAATTCATCATCACTTTTTCTCAAACCTTCCCCGATAATGCTAATGATTGTAGTAACCCTCCCGGTGTCTTGGTCAAGTACTTGCACCGCTGACATACATCGCATTTTGCCACCATATCCTCATTGTCTCTGAGCATCCCCATCAAAATAAAGTTCTGCCACCAAACATTTGAAGGTCTTCTGCGCTCCTGAATTTCCCTTGATCACACAACCATGAAACTCCTGTAATAATCTGGGATTATACTCCGACGACTTAGGTAGAGCACGAATCGCCCCTAGTGGAGCAATTGTTGTCCCCTCAATGCATATCCTGGGCGATTGTTCGGATCTTGTAATAACTCGGCTCTTATCATCCTCAGCTCCCCATCCCTTACATTCTCTTGTCTCATGGCTTCCCAGTCTAGGATGAATCAAATCGATAAGGTCTTCAATTGAGGTTTATCCACCTTTTTCGGCAATGCGCCAGTTCTCTTGTCTCCAATTTTAGCCAATACTGAATCTCAAAATCATACCCAGTAGCTTAGACAACAATCTCTTATGCACATCAGTCACCATCCGCTGCTCCAGAAGATTACTTTAAACTCCTCTGATCTGTCCTGACCAAAAAAGTGTCGTTCTAACAGGTAGGGCCGCCACTTATGCATGGCCAAGACAATTGCCATTAATTCTCATTCATACATTGACTTTAACCTCACTCTAGCAGTAAGAATCTAGCTGAAGTAAGCAATCGACAACTGATCTTGCATGAGCGCTGCTCCCAATCTGTAGTCTGATGCATCTGTCTCCACCACGAAATTTTATTGAAATCTGGAAGTGCTAATACTGGGACGTTTCAGCTATTCAAATGTTTATGTTGCTACTTCCCCCATTTGAAATAATATTTCTTCAGATGTTCCGTCAGTGGTCATGCTATCATCTCATATCCTCTCACTAACTTCCGACAGCATCCGGTGAGACCAAAGAATCCTCTCAACTTCTTCAAACTCCTCGATGTAAGGATCAATCAACACTAGCCTCGATCTTGGACCAATCCACCGTTGCCCCCATTTTGGATGCCACATGCCCTCGGTACTTCACATGCAACTATGAAAGAACATTTCTTCAAGTTGACATACAACTAGAGCTCCTTCAATGTATCTAGAATTGTCCTTAGGCGCCCCACATGCTCTATCTCTGTACGACTGTAGATCAAAATGTTGTCAAAGAAGACTAGGACAAATTTCCAAATGTAAGGTTGGAACACCCTATTCCTGACGGACTGAAATGTCCTCGGAGCGTTGGTGAGGCCAAACGGCATCACTAAGAACTCATAATGTCCTTCATGTGTCTTGAACGTTGTCTAGTGCATATTCGTTGGGTTCATCCTGATCTAGTGGTATCCCGACTTAAGATCATTTTTTTTTAGAAAATGACTAACTCATAAAGCTCATTCAATAACTCATCAATCATAAGAATAAGAAATTTGTCCAACACCATCTCCTTGTTCAATGTTTGGTAGTCCACGCAGAATCTCCAGTTATCATATTTTTTTCACAGACAGGACGTCACTGAAAAAAGGACGCACTAGGCTTGATAATCCCGATCTCGAGCATCTCTTTGATTAGCTTTTCTCTCTCATCCTTTTCAATCTGGGGGTACATGTAAGAAATAAATTTGATGGGAAAAAAACCCTCCTTCAATGTAATAGTGTGCTTGTGCTCCATCGAAGAATGTAACCCGCTTAGCTGCGGGAAGACATCGGTATACTGCCGTAGGAGCTGTTGGACCCTTCTCTACCAATTCTGAATCTTGAATCTCCTCAATGCCCTGCAACTCCACCAAGTAGCCCAGTCTCGCTCCCCGAATCGACTTAACCATGGTTTTGAGTGACATCATGGTTATACAAAAGCTAGCATCTCCTATCAGCATCACTTTCCTACCTTCCACTTGGAACTCCATCATCAAGGACTTTCGATCCATCTTCATCTCTCCAAATGTTCACAACCACTTCATCCCCAAAATCACATTTTTGTTGCCCAAATCTAAAGGAAGTCTTATACCACCCGTACGTCATGCAGTGTTAGAACCCTTGTATTATCCCCAATTTTTTTACACATTCCCTGTTCTAATAAGGATGTCGAAGCTCCCTGTAGTCACCAGCTTCAACCCTAGCTCCTTCACAGTCTGATTTGAGATAAAATTATTATATTTAGCCCTGCTATCCACCAACACCACCACCGGTTGTTCCCCGATCTATCCCCTCACCTTCATGGCGTGATTCGAGGTAAATACCATCATCAAATTGAGGGACACCTTCACCACATCCAAATGCATATGCTCCTCTTCCGTTGTTACCTCCTTCTAGTTCCTCACTCTCTGTATTCTACTTTTGAACAAAAAGAACCTGAAGGGCGCGCTACTTGCAAAGGTGTCCTGGGGCGTATTTCTCTTCACAGCGGTAGCAATTGCACTTCTACATTTTTGAGGCGTTTGAAATTACCCCTAGGCCGGTGTCTGGTACTCTTTTCCTTCAGCGTCTCTTGCTGAAATGACACCGTCTAGGTCCTCGGTATCGTGACTGTCGCGGTGTTCTTGTAGAATCCTCTAATGTTGTCACCATTGTCAGTCTTCTCACATGTTTCTTATCCTCTATCATATGGTCGAGCTCCATCATTTCCCTCAATCCCCACGGCCTCGAGGGACAGATGATTGCTTGTATGTCGGGCTTTAGGCTTTTTAAGAAGTTCCCTGCCAGTCCTGCTATAGAAATCCCCCTCAATCTTCCTGATAAGAGCTTGAACTTCTCTTGGTATTTCATAGTTGTTCCCTCCTGAGTTAAAGAATATAATTGCTCGAGTAGATCTCCTTCCCGAATGGCTCGGAAACGCTCCAACAAGCGATTCTTAAACTCCTCCCACGAGTGCATAGGATACCTTGCCTACATGCACTGGAACCACGCTAAAGCCTTACCTCTAAGCATAATCCCGCTATCATGAGCTCCTCTTCCTCAGTCAACCAGTTGATTACAAAGTATCGCTCCACACGATATACCCATCCATGTGCATCTTCCCCTTCAAAGATTGGCATCTTTAGTTTCCCGACCCTTGCATCTCCACCCCAACTTCCTCTCCCTCTAAGATTTCCCCCCATATATCTAGGGTAAACTCCCTCCTGCAGTCATAGGCATACCCCGACTTCTGATTCTCTCATTCCTCCATCATACTCTTTTGTGTCCCTTCCACCATCCCTTCTCTAAATTTTGGCCCATGCCCTCCATCGGAAGTCTCCACTCCCACGCCTCTCGGAATCCTAGGGGGACGCCCTTGTATGTAGATTATATCTTCTTTATGGTTTTCTCGCTCGATCTCCTTCTATTTTGACATGGACAAGGATTTCCTGATTAACCCTTGGTTAGGATTTGCAATTGGAGTGATCGACACGGCCTTGGATTGCATCTTCGTGAGCTTTTTCATCATCTCCCGCATTTCCCCTATGTCTTCAAATCCATCATTCATTCGACATTCCATAAAAGAAAATTTGTCCTCCACGGTAACAAATATTTCTTCCATTCCCAATCAGAATTGTTCTACCTCTCCTTCTAGCAAATCAATTTTCTTTGTTGTCATCCCACCAAAATCTATGCTCTGATGCCAATTTGATATACCATGATACCAAAATTAGCGAACAAAAACAACGAAATGGAAAAAAAAAGGTGGAAGAAAAATAAACAAGGGCTGCTCTTACAAAAATCAAAGGAAAACAATCAACATAAAAGGTTAATCTAATTTTCAAGAGGTAGATCATCTCTCCCACACCCTAAACGTCGCTAGGAACATCACATAAAGAAAGAAAACAGCAACCAAACAAAAACAAGCACAAAATAAGAAAAACCCTACGTTCCCTCTCAAATAAAATCCCCTCACAGCATTTCAAAAATTCTCCTTAACTTTCCCTCCAAACTCCTTTAATTTCTCTTCCTTGCATAGGTAATTATGGTGCTAGTGGACCCCACCCTTTCCTTTCCCTCTTCTCCCTCTATCCACTGCCCTTCATCCCAACGCCAAGACCGGCCCCCTCATAGCATTTCAAAAACTCTCCTTAACTTTCCCTCCAAACTGCTTTAATTCCTCCTCCTTGCATACGTGATTATGGCCCTAGAGGTACCCCACCCTTTTCTTTCCATCTTCTACGGTTCCCTTTGTCCGCTCCCCTTCTTCCCAGCGCCAAGACTGGCCCACCTATGGGCAGGCTCCACTGCTTACAGCCTGAGAGGGCATAACATTGACCTCCAACTGGAGGAAAGAGAAAAAATTCGCCCATGAAGCGTCTACACTTTTGCTCATTTAGTTCATATTTTTGTATTGTATGTTTAAGAAAAAACATTACATAAACCGGGCAGCTGCGCATGAGTGCATAAAAGCATATGTTTTTTTATGAAAAAAAAAGGGGGCTCTCCAAACATGAGCAAAGAAGCAGTGAACAGGTAAGAAGTTTGCTGTATGGAATAAAATATATAGGCGCCATTTTGTATGATGGATATGTTTTGGACCATGTCACGTCTATCAGCCTACTTATCATACAACAATGACTCAAACCACCATAAGGCATTTGAAAACTAGGACACTGTTTTCACATATATATAATGAAGTGGAATTCAACTGGAGAGTAGATTGAGCAAAGAAAATAAGCACCAAAGCTATACTTGACCAAGAAGAGAAGCAATACAGGCACCAGTGTGAACAAGTGGACCTTCTTTGCCCAGTGCAAGCCCTCCTCCAACTGAGCCAATGCTTCCAAATATCTGCAGAGCAAATAAAAGAAATATTTTATAATGTATTCACCATTAGCAAAAAACTAATAAAGGGCAGGGAAGAGGAGCTGATAATCCAGACCTTTCCAATCAAAGTTCTAAAGAGAAGAATTCCATGTGTATCAACTCCTATATCAATGTTCAACTTCATCATAGTTCCAAAAAGAATCTCAATCATATGTAAATAAATAATACAAACCGTTTAGGTAACCCTTAATCTCTGGGATACCAGATCCTGCTGCTGCTGGAGCAAATTGAGTCACGATAAATACAGAGGTAAAAACTAGAGCGACGTTGAATATAGCATATACCAAGAAACCCAAAATGTAGGAATGCTGTATAATAGAGAAAGTCACGGCATATTTCCAGCCAGAGAAGTTCTCAACAGCTAGATTAATAAACACTGCAGCTAATGCAGTCCCTGAAAAAATATAAAGAACAGAGGGAGGGAAAAATTAATCTTGAATGTGGCAAGCTATAGAAAAGAAAGCAGTGAAGTAAAATACCCAACATGTATGTAAAGTAGATAAGGCTAAATCAATGACCAAACAGCTAGCAAAGTAAGAAAGCAGTGAAGTAAAATACCCAACATGTATGTAAAGTAGATAAGGCTAAATCAATGACCAAACAGCTAACATATTAATGGGATTGAAGGTAGAACTTGCTAAAATACCATTGAAATAACAGGGGATTTAGCTGGACTTCATTGAACAGAGAAACATGACAGAGCTCTTTAAATGATATAGGACTAACTATAACTTGGGTATATTTGAACAACTCTCTCACCTAGTTGCCTCTGGCCGCCCCTTCTTTTCCTAATACTTTCAAATTTAATTCTACCTTCATGCTTTCTTAGGGCGGTGATTGCTCTAGTTGTCCTCAATTTACAACAAATTCAACATCACATTCTCAATTTCACCACATGCTTTTTGCATCAATGATATTCAGATGACCAAACACTAGGATCCATATAGCATAGTCAATCTAATTGTAATTTATAAAAACTAACCATTTAGACTTCAAAATACATTATGATCACGCAACATTTAAGAAACACTTATCTATTTTAACCAGTCATGAAAACTAAGCTTTCAAATGTTGAAGATTATTTGATATTCAACAGCAATATTCGAAATTAACCTTTGATCCGTATGATGATAAAAATTAAAAGATACACTTTATTTATATTTATTGAATAAGCTCAGCTCTAATTGATTTCATGAAGGTGAACAGAAGAAGTAGCTTCACACTTCTAATGTCACAACAAATGTTGCTTGGTTTTATAGTGCTAAAAGCACTTGCATTAGTTTATAATGCACCAAAGAAAAAAGTGGGAAACTTCTTGTCATTGCCCTTGCCAAGCAAGCACTTATAGCTATAGCCAACCAAAGCTTTGAATCTACCCTTAATTAATATAAAAAATTACAGATTTCCCTTACAAGCAAGAAAATTGATCGTAAAATTATAAAAACAAAGCCATTGTAATAATTTAATCTTTCACTAGCGATTAGAAATCTGATCCAGAAATTGGAAATGGAGTCAAAATGGTCATTACGGCTGTAATAGGTGCGGTAAAGACTGCATTGGGGGTTGAACTTTTAAAACATCAATAGTAATGTAGCTTCACACTTCTGATTGTCGCCACTAATGTTGCTTGCTTTTATGGTACTTAAAGCATTTGCATCAGTTTCAAATGCACCAAACACAAAAGTCGGAAACTTCTTGTCATTGCCCTTTCCAGGCAAGTACCTATAGCTATAGCCAACCAAAGGGCAAAATCTAACATTCAATTATCATAAGAAATTACAAATTTCCCTTGCAAGCAAGAAAATTGGTGGTAAAAATACAAAAATAAAGCCATTGTGATAATTTAATCTTTCATTAGCGAATTGAAATCCAATCTAGAAATTGTAAATGTAGTCAAAACAGTCATCACGGCTGTAATTGGTGTAGTAAAGGCTGCACTGGGGGTTGATATTCTAGAACATCATTACTATGGATACATTCCCGCAACATCATCTCACCCCACGTCCTTTAAAAATAAAAAATCATTAGAGTCCTATTTCTTGATTCTCCTTAAATTGTCAACCTCTTCATCATCTTTTCAATTAAAATATAAAAATTGCTACTTTAAACAATAAAACACATTGTAGTCCCATCCAACTTTTGCTGAGATCTCAATTTTTTCTAGCTAGAAAGCCCTCAACCTCCTTGGCAAGTTTAGTAAGAGAATAAAATTTAAGCAATGAACATCATTTTAACAGTCAACAGGGATAAGCAGACACTGAAAAAAAAAAGGTAAGGATCAGACACAAGCAAAAGATTTCATGTTTTTAACTCAGTGTTCCTCATCATGCATAAAATTAGCTAAAAGATGACATAACCAAAAAGGAAAAAAAATATTTCAATCAGCACCTTATTCAGCCATCTTCATTGTAAGTAGATAACCATGTGATGAAATCAAAGACTATTGTAATTTTTTTAAAAGCTTCTGAATCAATCTTTTAGTTTCTAAAAAAGGTTTGCAACTTCAGCCCAATATTCTACTGATGCAGTGCAAAAAATAAGCAATATAAAATTTCAAAAATGTGCTACAATTTTTTGCATATATTATAGAACTGCTTTGTGATTTGGACATGCAATCTTTTATATGCAATCTTAAAGTCCAATTTAGGTGTAAATTCAATATTTAAGATTAGAAAAAAATAAAATTACAAGTTGAAACAAAATATCTTATTTTTATAAAGAGCAATTAGCATGTCATCATCATCATTAACCTTATCCTTCAGCTTTTCCAAAAGCCCTCTTTCTTTGTTAAATACTGTTGTGTTATGAGTTAACAAAAATCTATGGACAGCATATCTCTTCTAAAAATAAAAAAATGCAACCATTTCAAAGTGTTTCATGCAGTCATATTATTCAAGAATACAAAACTACAGCAAACCAAACAATACAAGAGTACTTTCTTGATATATGATGCCTGAAATCCTGCATCTATCATACATTCATGATACGTTACATTAACCAGGTAACCTGGGCATTATTTTCCTCTTGAATGGCTAAGCAAATTTGCTTTACTTTCTTGATTATCGTTCGTTTCTGGAGTTAATAGTGAAAAACCTAAAGAAGTTGCGGGCCCTGGTCCAAAACTAAACACCTACAGAGCTCCGTAACTTATAAAAGACAGGTAGACACATGAAATAGGCTTTAGCTAAACATTAAAAGATAAACTGTCAATGCCCGGCAGCCAAAAAACACTTATCAGGATAACACGGAGCATATCAGAAAAAAAAAAATTAGGGTTGAAACCAATAAAACTAACCGACGCCAATTAACAAGGCGATCAGCCATTTCAGCATTGCATAGTACCAATTGAACAACTTGCTCCTCTTTGCCTATAACATCTCAAAACCAAAAATCAAACGGAGATATCAATAAAATGGAAGCATAAACAACACGGCGGAATCCGTCATTGTCAGACCTGCGCCTCCCTGTAAGCGTAATTCTCGATGACTTCGTAATCAAGGCTCTCCGCACCTCCGATGTCATTCATTATCCTTTCGTGCCCCTCCGTCTCCGCGTCATCGGAGCTCGGCAGACGCGACCAGGCAAGCTTCGCCGTCTCAATCCCGTTTTGGAAGTGGTTCGAAAGCATGATTCCTGAAAGAGGAAGCGCACTGCGGGAGGATCAGATCCTTCGAACGCTGCAAACCCGCAAATCGGAGATCAATGGGATCTTGTTCTGTCACGGAACAGAGATGCCGGGTGGTTGATAATTTCGGCGGGGTAGAACGGTAGGAGGAGAGGTCGGTGATAATTCAATTTTGCGTAGAATGAGGTCCTCGGCTCCGGGTTCACCGGGGAGGGCTTTTTATTTATTTATTTATTCTTTGATAAATATCTAAAGGCCCCATTGTTTAAATACATATCATATAGTTCCTTTATATTTATCTAGTACCTAAAGTTTACACTTTTAATAATTTATGATGTACTAGACTTAAAAAAAAGGAAAGTAATATAATAAAAATTTTTATTTATTGTTGCAAATATGTTATATATATATATATATATATATATATAAGAATATATTACACAAATTCTTGACATTATATCCAAAATATCACTATAATTGTTGTTTATTGGAAAATTGGCTACAAATGTCAATATAATTGTAACATTAACAGTCATATACAAAAGTCATTTGTTTGTTGTTGCACGTGCAGTAGTTGATCACAAAAGTCGGGATTAAAAATTGTAATATCATTAATTGGCTACAAATGTCATAGTTAGTGGTCGCAATATCATTTGTTGGTCATATAAGTTATGGTTGGTGATTGTAATAGTGTCGGTCGGTCACATGTGCTGTAATTGGAAGATGTAACCATAACAATTAGTCATATATGTTGTATTTATGGAATGTAATATCTTTAGTTAGTCATATAGGTCATACTTAGTGACTACAATAGCATAAATTTGTCACAAAGGTAGTAGTTGGTGATTGCAACAACTTCAGTGAGGCACATAGGTTGTTGTTGGTGACTGCAATAGCGTTAGTCAGCCATGGAGGTCGTGATGAGAAGTTGTAGAAATAAATAATCGCATAGATCATAGTTGGTAGTTGCAAGAGTGCCGGTCGGCAAGAGAATTTGTATTTACAATAAGCCACATTGGTTATAGTCGGTAATTGTAAGAGCGTTAGTTGTCACCCATAAGTTGCAGTAGTAACTGATCACATAAGTCATAATTGATAGCTGAAAGAGAGTCAATCAACTAAGAGGCCATATTAGGAAGTTATAGCAGAAACTGATTACATAAGTCATAGTTGGTAGTTGCAAGAACATAAATCGATCACAGATGTCGTAGTAAGAAGTTGTCATAGCAATTGGCCACATTAATCATAAATATAGCAGTAGCTAGCCACATGGGCCATTATTGAGAAAATTAGGGCGAAGAAAAATAGTAACGACACAAATCTATAAAAAAACATAAATTTAACGAGGTTCGGCAAAGATTCCTACGTCCTCGGGAGTAGAGTGACGAGTTTCTTTCACTATTCAGAAAGGATATTACATAATAGATGATACATCTTGTGGTTACTAACTTGTCTATTTATAACCCCAAGAGTAAACCCTAAGCACAATATGTAATTACATCATTACCCCTGTACCATATCGCGGGTTTCGCCCCTGCACCCCAACCCACGTAACTTCCCAATTTAAACAAATTCTTCTGCTCTGCTCCACTCTGATCCAACATTTATCCCTATATGGTATCTGAGCTATACCATTACAAATTTACACCTTGGAGAATATCCAACCCCTTGGGAGAAAAATACCTGGGAGTTACACCTGCACCACTATGGGTCAATGCGCCATGCTTCTCTAGGAACTGCAGACATTGTTGATAGTAACTGGGTCAACATACATATCAACTGCATTCTCATCAGTATGAACCTTCTGCAACAGTATCTCCCCAAAAACAATCAATTCTCTGATCTTGTGATACCTGACATCAATGTGCTTGGTTCTCACATGGTACACCTGGTTCTTAGCCAGATGAATAGCACTCAGACTGTCACAATGCAACTGAACTCTACCTTGCTCAACGCCCAGTTCCTTTACTAGCCCAACAAGCTATAAGGCTTCTTTAGCAGCTTCAGCTACTGTCATGTACTAAGCTTCAGTTGTAGATATTGTCACAATAGACTAAATTGTTGATTTCCAATATATAAGTCCTCCACCAAGAGTAAACACATACCCAGTTGTAGACCTTCAGCCATCCAAATCACCTGCGTAGTCTGAATCAACGTACCCGACAACTGAAAGATCATTCTTCTGACAGCCAAAAATAATTTCATGTCCTACAGTACCCTTCAGATACCTGAAAATCTACTTGACTGTTTCCCAATGTCGTTTTCCAGGTTTAGTCATGTATTTGCAGACTTGACTAACATCATGAGTCAAATCAGGACGAGTACATATCATTGCATACATCAAGCTGCCAACTACACTGACATATGGAACTTTTGTCATGTCTTCCATTTTTGTATCTGTCTTAGGACACTGTTATGAAGAAAGCTTAATATGATTTGTCAAAGGAGTGCTCACAATCTTTGCATTGCTCATCTCAAACCTTTCCAACACTTTCTCAACATAGTCTCGTTGAGATAAACATAATCGTCTTGAGCCTCTGTCTCGATGAATCTCCATTCCAAGAATCTTCTTCGTAGAACCCAAGTCTTTCATGTCAAATTCTTGGCTCAATAAAGCTTTCAAACCACATATATCATTCATATTTTTTTGCTACAATCAGTATATCATCAACATACAGTAACAGAAAAATAATAGAACCATCATCAAGACTCTTCACATAAACACAAAAATCATACTCACATCGTCTGTAGTCAATCTGCATCATGTAGGAGTCAAACCGCTTGTACCATTGTCTTGGTGACTGTTTCAACCTATACAACGATTTCTTTAACCTACAAACCAGATGCTCCTGTCCAAGTTGAGTGAACCCTTCCGGCTGCTCCATGTAAATCTGCTCCTCCAAATCACCATGCAAGAAAGTAGTTTTAACATCCATCTGCTTCAAATGCAAATCCCAAATAGCTACTAATGCAAACACTATCCTAATTGAAGTATGTCTGACCACATGAGAAAAGATTTCATCATAATCTATCCCCTTCTGCTGTGAAAATTCCTTTGCAACCAGTCAAGCCTTGAACTTTTTCCCTTCTTTTTCTGATACTGTTGGTTTCCTTTTGTAGACCCATTTGGAAACTTGAATAAGTTTAGATAATAATATATTAATCTCTGTCAAGAGCCTTAAGAAAGGATAAAAATGTATTTTGTTGACTTTGGGTGATATTGACTTATCTTAGGAGATGGGCTAGATATAGGGAAATATAAATATGTTTATAAGAGAATAGCAAGCATTAGGACATAAATAATATTTCCTATCAAAGAAGGTCACTCAACCCAACAAAATAAAATTTTTTTCCAAATTTTTTGTCTTTCAATTCAAAAAGTTTTTATTACATATTCGCACTATATGCAAAATTTATAATGTCACTTAAGCTAGTATTACTTAAATTAAGGAGCAAAATCTTTTGAGAGAAATGAAAATTATAGTTGTAAGGTGCTAATTGTATTCATTAAATCTTCCACTATTTTAAAAAATTATTAAGTTGCTAAATCCTCATCCCAAAGTAAAATATACAGAAAAAATTGATAAAATATAAAAGATGTTTTAAAATATAAAATTTTTTTCTTGTTTTGGCTTTTGCATAGGCTTTTATAATTTCGCATCTCCTATTTTAAGCATCTTGATATGCTTGGCCTTTTGTGCTGAAACTTATACGTGATCCTTTTTTAGCTTGATTATTTTGATCATCTTAATGTTTCACATGAACTCCCCTAGAGCTCATTGAACTATTCTATAGAGTTGATATCCAATAGTTTTCTATGATTTGAGGGCCAAGCTCCTTACAATCCATGTTATCATTCAAATGTCTTTGATTGTGGTTTGATCTTCTTTTTAGCATGAATCTATGGTTTGCCGCTTGGTTTGTATGTCTTAAAAAATGATAGATTGTAATTTCATGAAAGTGAATTGAGATAATCTGCTAGTGGAGGATATTGTTCTCTACCAATGACTTAGATTAAATATACAGAGGTTGGCTATGTCCCATCATATGATAAGTATCATTAATATTAAAAATAAGGTTGATAAGAATATTAACAAATAAAGCAAGTTGGTATATATTAGTTCTTATTTTTTTCTAATAATTTGGAATGATTAATAGATTCTATTATGTAATCTATTAAATTTAGCGGATTAATATCTCTTATATCTAATATGAATCAACACAATCATCATATTTATATTTTTTAGCATAATGATCATGCTGTATTGCATTAGTATTTTTTTTAGTTGCTTTCTTATTTCATTGTGTCTAGGCTTTGAGAATCTCTATCAAAAAGAAATAGAGCATCGATGTATGAGATAGAGTGCACTAGGGTGTAAATGAGCCAAGCTTCGTGTTCGACACGTTCAAATTTAATTTGCTTGAAACAAACAAAGGGTTGTTTCTGTTCAAACGATCTAAAAACAGCCGAACTTGATCAAACAAAGGGTTGTTCATGTTCAACTCGTTTATAATTCGATATTAAAAAAATTATTTGTCTTTGATTTGCTTACTTAACGACGATTTGAGCAAGAGCTACTCAACAAGCCAAACACAAACTATTCATGAACAACTAGCTTTTTTGACAACCCTAGTTGTGACCCAAGTATTAAATTTATAATATGCTTCAAAAAGCAGAATAGGCTTGTGAGTTTTAACAGAACCAAATTTAACCTCTCATAAATTTAGTAGCGTAGTATAAACAAAATTCAAGGCCTACTCTCTCTTTCTGAGGAGTAGTCCTAACTACTGGTAAAGTAGGTTTAGTAGTATTAAGATCAGAAACATCATCACTATGTATCTCAATGGGGGATCTTATGATTATCACTTGTAGTTTTTATTTTATTTTTCTTAGAACTAGATTGTTATTGAAAAAAGAAAAAGGATGTGGGCTTGCAGAGTACAATAAACAATGCTTTCTCTTTTGATTTAAGTGGCATTTAGTTTTCTGGTCTTATGTGCAATTGTATGAGGTGGAATAAAAACTATTATTATTTTATGTCATGCAGGTTACATCTAAGCTTCACTTTCTTTTAATATTTTTGAGCTAATTCTTAATGCATGTACTATTTAAGTGGCATCTTCTTCAGTTATTTATTATCTTTTCTTCCATCACCATTGCATCTCCATTCATGTCAGTTTTTTCTTTTTGCAGGGAGGACTTTCTTGTTTAGTAATTGTAAACCCAACAAACCATACTGTCACCAGACATGATTGCCACATCCAGTTTAGCCATAATTTCTCACTGCAAACATTAAAACAAAACCGTTTCTTCCACTTGCCAACAATCCTTTCTCTTTTCTAGTGAAGGGAAAATAAATACAGGAAGTCTTTATCAAAGAGTTCTTTTCACCTGCTCAGAGGTAACTACAAGACTTTAGACATTAGATGTTTAGCTTGTAGATTATACAACATCCATGCAGCAATATTAAGCTTATTATATTAATACATGGCGTGAATGTGTATTGTTGCAAACCAACTTTTAGCTAAAGTTTTGGTGGGATAGCTTCATAGTTTAAATGTAGTTTGTTATTTCGATTTAATGCAATCTTTCTCATTGCTTTTGAGATCATATGTTGGAAGGAATTCGTAAAACCTAATGAAAGTGTGTGAGTTGAAAATTTAGTAACGATTTAAACCAACATAAAGTTGATTTTAATAATATTATCTACCAATGATATCATCATACCATCTAAATCCAAATGTTCGTTTGACTCTAACTACCAAAATACAAAATGGAAATAGGACTATACAATTGAATCAAATAAATGATCCTAACCTTAAACATCTCTAAAATTATACTCCAAGCAGAAGCATACAAAGTTCTTTTAACCAATGCATCGATAGCAACTTGAAAGTTATAATTTTGAGGTTTGGGTTTGCCAGAAGCAAACTAAGTAGGTAAAATCTCACTGAACAAAATATAAACGGCCAAGGCACATAGTATAATATGAGCAAAGAATTGGCTATGAATAAAATATTTGTTGTGTTATGACAGTTCCAAATAATATACAAAAGTGAGATTTTTTTTTTCTTTTCTAATTGAAATTTATTTAATTATGCACAACAAACAATAGAAAGAAAGACGAATTTATATAAACAAATGCTTGTCGTGTCCACATAATAATGTATCCACTTACATGCATTCACATATATATATATATATATTATATATGTATATAGTCGGTTTATTACAACACTCTAAAACTGGGAAATGCAGGCGCCAATGCCAAGAAAATCCAATGATTTCTTGTAGGGTCGTTATTCCATGGATATGTCGGTCTGATTGGCCAACATCCAAGATGGTTTAAGGCCTTCATACACATTATTAATAATCACATACATTGCATACATTACATACCAAACATTTTCAGTAGTATAAGAATCATTATCATGTATACACAACATATTTTGTGAAAATAAAAGGCTTTCTATTTGATGGAAATAATGTCAAGTTAAATGTTGTAACCATCCATAATTATTTAATGTATAGAAGTTTATGCAACAACAAATCAAGAGAAAACTAAAATCACATCATATCAACATGATAATGTGAAATACATTAACTAAAAAAAGCATATTCCATCATAAATAGTACAGACACAACGATAAATAGCAAGGAATCCACCCCTAACAAGGAAGGGCATGTTTATCTCTTGCTTAATAAGAACTAAGAAGTCACCTACAAACATAAATCACAGGGAACCCAGCATCATTTAAGAGGCAGATCTTCTCTCTTTATGGCATTATGCTCCACAAATCCTAAATACAAAACGATCTAAATAAATTACGCATTCAACACATTATATATCAAAGCATTATATAATAACAACAATCAATTACAAAAAATAAATTAATAATTCTAACGTATGCTTAGAATCCTAAGCATTTCATTACTACCTTAAAGTAAAAAATTTAGTAAAATTAAAAATAAAATGTTTAAGCTTTTCTTGAAAAATTAAGTCCAACATGGATAAAATCCTCCAAATGAGTAAGTACTTATAGCAAGCCCTTCATCAACCTCAAGTATGAAAAATTTCCTTATTGTATCAAGTTATGATTAAAATGATGAATTTTCTTACCATCAAGTTAGAATTTCTCTTAGAAAGTAAATGTCGACTCTTAACAACTTAACACCTATTAATCATAACCATACATTAATTTAGATATATAAATATATATAATCTTTACAATATTTCCAAACAAATGAAAATTTGCCAAACTTTTTGTTAGGGAAGATATACAGAAAATTGATTCTAGAGATCTGAAGTAAAACTTAGAAAAACAAAACACAAAATAAGAAATCACAGAAAATACAAAAAACAACAAGTTTTAATGTGGAAAAAGTCGAAAATGGGAAAAAAACTACGAAACCACCCCATACCAAAAATTCACTATGAAAGTGAGGAGAACTGGACTAATCACACCACACACAAGCCTATCTACACCTTGGAACACTTTAGGAATTCTCTCCTCTCTATGTAACACAAGAGAAACCTAAATCGAACTCCACTTACTAGTATATGGACCTATGTTGGGCGTTGCTGCCCCCAAACCCAATATAAGGGGACAATCCCTGTACCACTTGAGCAAACTCATCATCAAATTTGATCAGTAAAACTGAGAGCTTTGAGTAACCAATTGATCAACACAATCAGACTCCACATCATAAAACTTGTCATATTCGTCCCTACTGATTCTCATACCGAGGATTTTCTTGATTAGATCCAAATCCTTTATTTAAAACTCCTTTGATAATTGTTCATTCAAGTCTCTAATTTTCTCCATACTTGCTTCTACAATCAACATGTCATCCATATACAAAAAAAAATATATATCAATTATCAAAATGTTTAATGAAGCAATAATGATATGTCTGACACTTCTTATACTCACAATCTGACATAAATTTGTCAAATCTTTTGTATCACTGTCTTGGTGTTTGCTTCAAACCGTAAAAACTCTTATTTAGTTTACAAATCATGCTTTGTTTTCTTGAAACTTCATATCCTTGGAGTTGCATCATATACATCTATTCTAATTCATAATGTAAGAATGTTGTTTTACATTCATCTATTCCATATGTAAATATTCTCCTGCTACTAAACTCAACACAATTTTGATTGTTGTCAGTTTCACTACTGGAAAAAATATTTCAGTTCAGTCAACTTTTTTTTTTAATTTTATTATCATTATTTTTTTTTTTTGCTAAAACCTCTTCACAACGAGTTTTATCTTATAGCACTTGCCACCATCTCACTCTTTTATCAACATGTAAAATCACTAGTTGTGTAATGCATTTTTATAATCTAGTACTTCAACCAATTCACATGTATGATTTGACATTAGTGACTGCATTTTGTTATCCATGACAAACTTCCACCAATTCGAGTGTTTAACTTAAGTGGCCTCATTATAACAATTTGGTTCACCATTATCAGCTAGCAATATATAGTACAAAAAAAGAAAAATATGTTTGTATCAATAGTGTGATCTTCTGGACCACCTGAATTCAGTAGCAGTTATCTAGGGAACTTCATGTTTTTAGTCAAATTGAGCACATTTCCTTTCTCCATCTCCCTTCTCACTTGAGTCTTCTATATAAGCATATATGGAAGAAGCTTCATAAGTAATTGATAGACAATCCCAAGTTTTATTTATGTCTTTGTACATCTTCATTTCATTGAAAGTGAAATCTTTGTTCTTAATGAATTTCTGATTTTGATAGTCTCGATTTTTTAACCAAATTCATGAGACTAACAAAATCAGAAATTCATTAATAATTCTAGGTGAAATAGATTTCACTCTTTATCAACCCTAGCTTCTTTAATAAGGCTTCATTCAAAAGTACTGCTAAACTACAGTTGATGAGATAAACTATAATGGAAAACAAAAAATGAAAAATCCCAAAAAAAAAAAAAACACTAAGATTTAACGTGGAAAACCTTCAAGAACGAGGAAAAATCAGTCACAACGATCCAAACATAAATTCAAGCATTGCATAAGTCATTGCAGTGCAATAATTCATTGACACCCAATGATCTACACAAGCCAAACAAAATTTAGAATTCAATGTATGTTAATATGATATTTCAACAGCACAATGCAAGTAGGATATGATCAACAAACATCACTTATGAAGCAAGAACAAAAGCTTATTGAGAGTAAAGTAACACTTGCACGACCATTTTCATACATTTCTTTTCCTTCAACAAGGCTCTGTAAAATATTCATACACAAACAAACAAGTGTCAAAATTACATAAAGAATTAACATACTAGCGGCCAAACATATCAAAAACCAAGATGACATAATGAAAGTATGAAGTCGCCTAACAAAAAAGTCATTAAGGGTAATTAATGCAATCATCTCTACTACTTACATAAGCAAAACATCACAACATAGAAAACATGAAGTCATTTAGTGCGAAGCAATCAAATTAAAATCTCAAGAGTCATAATTCACCACAAAATCCCATTAAAAGTACAAAATTAGTTCGCAATTGATTCTAAATCAATTACAATAAATAATACTAACACTGCTCCAATTAAACAACAATTGGCATCTGATCAAACCTAAATTCAGATACCATTTCATCAAACATTGAACCGCAAGTAATAGAAGCAACAACTGTTAATTGTTAAGGAAATCTTCCGTATTTGTTTATCATCCCTTCGTTTTTAAATTTCATAGTCAAGACTCAATAGAATAGAATCATAGTCATGTAAATCTGAAAGTTGGATCCAGTAGCGTTTAATAGAACATGATTCAACTTTCTGGTAATTCCACAACATGATTCATATATTCAGGAATTACCAGAAATGATAGACTAACACAAGAGCCCCTGCAACAATGTCATACAATCAGATCAGTAATCATAAGATAATTGCATTAATTCCCATCTTCATAACAAACTTAACTAATACAAACAACGCTGCCCATAAGGTTTCTTACCTTCAAATAAGGTTTGTTACGTTTCAACCAGAAAGAAAGAAAAAGGTAATTAAAAAAAAAAAGATCTAACGTACGCATTTCTTAATCGATTAAAGCATAAACCCCAAACTAAATCTAGAAGGTAGAATAACTAAACTTAAAATCACTTAAGCCGTTTCACCGCAGAGGTCAGTCTTTAAGTCCTGTGCGATTTCACGCACAACCTCTGAAATGGAATCTTGCGGATGAGAAACTTCGTGCTCTTTTGGTATTTCCTGATCTCTCTTAGAGCCACGGTTCCGGTACAGAAACAGTGGGGCTTCTTTGACGCCGCCGGTCGCCGGAGAAGACCATGTTACGTTCTTAACCTGCAGTTGCTTGAGCGGAGCCTTGCCGGCTGTATACATTCGAGCAGTTATCTTTTTCCTCGCCATGAAGCTGAAGAACGGAGGAATTCGGGAGTGAAACTTTAGGTCTAGGGTTCTGTTGAAGAGGAAGTAGAGGTGGATGAGATTGGAGAAGAGCGCAAGCTGATTAGTTCGAAATTTTGGGATGCAGCGGATGTAAATATGGAGCGTTCGATTGGATTCCAATGAAGGGTGCGGATCTCGTTTTTGTGGAGCACGAGGATCGCCAGCTTGCCAATCCTTTTGTTTGTGCAGGTGATGAGTCCTTGTGCGGTCCGGTCCTTGGCCAGTCACGAAGTGATTCGAAAGAGCACTATTTCATAGCACATGCCACAAAGGCCCATCTATTTTCTTACAAAAATATTGTTGAATTTTAATAATATATTATTATTTTTATGAATTTTAATTTATAACTTCATTTAAAAATAACATTTATAAAAAATTTCTCTTCGTTAAATATAAAATTAATGCATGACCAAATACTGAAATTTGTCTGCCAATATTCTCATTGTTAGTTGATAAGCCTCCAACTAATCTTCATTGTCTGATTCAATTTTTGAGGTGTGACACATATGTTGAAGTAATCTTTCAAACAATAAATGTTCAAACTTTTAAAAAAAGTTACAGGAAGTTATGATTTCAATAAACTTATACTCAAACTCACTGGCTTAACGAGACGGACCAAAATGTACCAACATTGATCCAATCTGAACCAATCGAGCATGTTAGAAAATTCATATTTCAACTTTATACACAAATTTCAAAAGAAAAGTACATAATAGCCAATATCTTTTAAATTCATGATTTTTACATATGTAAAATAAAGTGACGCATATTTGTATTCATGATGAACAAATTTGATCTTGAAGAGATGAAGTTTCTCTCTCTAATCCCTTAAAACTTTCTGTACTTTCTGATAGAGAGAAATGTACGAGGTGTGTTAGGTGGAGAGAGGACTCATTCTCAAATTCATGCTCTATTTAACCACCATCCATCAAGGGGGTTACTAGCCAATAGGATTTATGATAATTTAATAAATTAATTGATTTTTATTAATAAAATCAATCACATAAGTTAGTAACATTTATTTATTTTAGGGGTTATATGAGTTACAAAAAATAAATATCATAAGTTATGACATACGTTATGAGTTAAGAAAATAAATAACTTAAGTTATCAAAATAAATATCATAAGTTGTCATAATCTATGACATAAATGATGAGTTATGAAAATTAATAACTTAAGTTATCAAAAATAAATCTCATAAGTTATTAAAATAAAAGTGAGTCATAAAAATATAACAGAGCATTGATCAAGCCATTAAACTGCTTTTTAAAGTTTTTTGGACATATTTGGAAATTCAAGTAGATGTCAAATTGAACGAGCTTATAGTCTAATCGTGCATCTCGATAAGACAAATCTAGCGAGCCAAACAACATTCAATTTTGACATCATTAAGACAGTCAAATGTCTATCAAACATTATATGATCAAAAGAAGTTTTTCGAACTGTCCAATTAGAGTGATTCAAATTTCATCATTAATTGTAGCCGGGGAGAGAGAGTTTGGGCTTGAGGAAGAGCTTGAAGCTTTGAAAAGGAGCTGAAGTCCAGCATCACCCCTACTGTCGTTGATCATCGTGGACTGTTGTCAACCACCGCCGACCACTGTCGATTATCATATGTCGGTCACCGCCGATAACTATCGGTTACAGCCCGTTCCTTGCAACATGTTCATCTGCACGTCGACACTGTAACTTGGGACATCTTGTAATATTTTTTTGTTTGTGGGACAAGTGATCACGCTATAATCTTCATTTTATTGTGGAACTCTTCCACTGTCCACTGGGTCAGACACCGTGGTTTTTCTATTTACGAGTTTTCCACATAAAAACTTCTAGTACATATAACGTTTGTTTTTTTTTTTTAATCTTAATGTGTGTTGAATTCTCGTGTAACGCTAAGAAGATAATCTATTACTCTACCACCGTAAATCTTCTAGCATGCACCGTTATTGTTATGATTGTAGAAACTAAAGGGGATGAGTATAGTTTTTTGCCCTACCCTGTTATCTGTTGGCGGTTTTGTTTTTTTGTTTTTTGTTTTTTTTTTTTTTTGAGATCTTCTTTTAGGATCTGTTAGATCTACTTGCATACCTTTTGTTTGTTGTAAATCATGGATTTTTTGTGGCAAACCTTAGATGTCTTCAATAACTTCACATATGTTTCTCTGCCATGGAGAGCACATGAACAACAAACGAATCCTTTTTTAAGCTTAAAAAAAATTTAGCAAGGGTTTCAAAGTTAAACATTGGCCCTGTCTTTTACTTGTCAAAAGAATGGAATGTAGATTTTAAAAATTCTCAATAGTTTCATATATCTTACTGCCTTGGAGAGCATATGAACATCAAACGAATTTTTTTATCAAGCTTCAAAAATTTCAGCTAGTATTTCAATGAAACATTGGGCCTGTCTTTTACTGGTTAAAAGAAGTCAATGTAGATTTTTTTAGAGATTTGAATAGCCTCAGATATCTTATTCTGCCATGGAGAGCATATGAACATCAAACGAATCTCTCTTGAAGCTTCAATAATTTCAGTAAGTATTTCAGTAAAACATTTTCCTTCCTTTTTTTCCTGTAGAAATTGAAGTGTAGGTGCTAGCTGTGTAGATACATAAGAATTGAGTGGCATGCATGAAAATTTTCCTTCCTTTTTTTTTATTTCACCTTCATTTGAACATCATCATTCTATATTTTGTCTGATTTATGCCTTATAAAGTGAGAAAGTCTATAGTTCAAATTCTTTGCAAATGAACTCAATTTTGGGATGATCATATAGAAATTTTCCAACCAAATTCAAAAGACAGTTGAAAGCAAGTTAAATACCTTCAGCTTATGTAAAAAAATATATCAGGCTTCCCATTCTTCCTAACAGGTTTCTTGATGTCCTCCGCCCACTCAAACGAAAGAGGGAAAGATTGCGATTTAGTTGTGTCTGAGGCGTGAACACCCACAAGGGCGGCTACATACTATATGTCTGAAACCATTGAAAGCTTTAAAAGAAATAAGAGAGGATGTTGTGAGCGCAGAGAAGCCGCAGAGGAGCCGTACCTGCGAGAGAGAGCCGCAGAGGAAAGACGTGAGACGAGTCGCAGAGATGCGAGACAGGCCGAAAAGGAGCCGCAGAGCGTGAGATGCGTTTCAGACCCGGAGAAGAAGCGTGGAAGACAAACGAAATCGAGCGCGAGAGCGAAGCCGTAACGTCTCAGAGCCGGAGAAGATGAAAGGAATCGAGCGAAGCCGCAATTGTTGTTTGGGTTAGCCATCGGGCGAAACCCTAGCACAGCCGAGCGGGAAGGATGACGACGTTGAATCAATATGACTGTTGAAAATAAAAAAAGGAGCTTGAGTTGAATCAAAAGGAGCTTGAGTTGATTAAGAATCAAACTGTTTCGGGTTGTCTGAGCAACTCAAATCAATATGACTGTTGAAAATTAAAAAAATTAGACTTTGAGTCGAGCTAAACTAGCTTAAATCCAAATTGATTCCTCCCACCCCCTCCTTTTCTTTTACATGCACTTAACTTAAAAATAGACTCACGTCTCTTTGTATGAAAGAAATTCTTAACAATAATAGTGTATAGTTTGTCATCAGAAAGTGCCACTATGCCAAGTAAAAAAGAAATTTTTCTAGAATTTATTTATTCCTACTTTCTCCTGTTTGCAGCCATATGGTTGGTCATCTGTAGCAAATTTAAAACTTTTATGTTGGACACATATTCATGTGTATTAAGATGATTGCTACAATTATATAGATAAGAACAAATGGAAGGGTCTATTGGAGTGGCTACAACTTATATAGATGTCTCTATGGCTGTTATAAGAAAAGCAATTTTTTTGAAAGTTATTTTGGTATTATAAATATGTTCTCTTGGACGAATGAGACGGTGACTAATTTATAATTATCCCACTAATAAATCTAGTTGTCAAAAATTTCTGAAAAATGACAAGAAAATAATAGTCACACAGAAGCGTAGCAGCAGTTTTAAAAGCAAAGCATTGCCTCAAATGAACTTTAACTTGATTGTCACAAATAATATTTTTTGTTCTCGTCTGAATTTAAAGAATTCTTCTATTTACATTTATAGATGTAACCAGGCTTAATGCATAGAATCTTTCTAATTGGTGATGTAACAATGCAGGGATCAGGACTAGTGCCTCCTATTCTGATGAAGAGATAGTGTTTGAAGCTGAAGTTAAACACACACATCAACACAGATATGCGATTGAGACGATTATAAATGGAAAGTTACTTCGTGGCTGCTTTTCTCATGCACCTCGCGTTCTTGTGAAGATAGCCTTGCATGCACGGGCAAGTAAGAAACTTTGCATTATGCTAGATTCCTTTCGTTTATGAAAACATTGTTTTTTAATTGCAATTATACCTGATGTTATCAGGAAGATGAGGGGAGAGGTTGACAGTAAATTGAACTTAAGTCTGCAAATATGTAGTACCGCGAAAGACATTCCTCAGGAAATAAAGTCAGATCCAACAAATATTAAAGATTGTCAGAAAAATCTCAATTCTAACATGGCTGATACAACAACAGAAGATGAAAAAAAACCAGAAAATATGGTTAGTTTTTATAATTATATTTTATGTTCTTGTATATTTTATTTTCATTGCCTAAAAACTTGTCAGAAGAGCTTTGGAGGAGAGAAATTTAGGTGATTTGAATGTTTACAGAGATGAGAAGATGTGTTAATAAAGCTAGGAGTGGAAAATGTTGTGAAAAAATGACGGTAATAAAATAAAAATCTGATCGAGAAAAACCGCAAAACAAAAAGACTGCGAAAACACACAGATTTACGTGGTTCAGCAAATTGTCTATGTTCACGAAGCTGCAGAAGATTTTATTAGCTTGAGGCATTACACTCGCTGATCACCTCGACGATTACAAGAAATTACTCTTTCTCTCTCCTCTCATCTCCTTCTCTCTCTCTCTACCCGAGAGCTTCAAACCGAAGCACTCCAGAAGAAGAACTTGGAAACCAATGCCGAAGAGCGATAACAAGGGGAGCTAACATGTTTATTTATTAATTTCATCATGTCATTTTGTCCATTAAGAAATTAATCTAATAATTAATGAAGCCCATTAATTATTTCCTTTTCTCCTCTACAAAAATCACAAAAGGAATTAAGAACAATTAATTTAACAATTAATTTTGAGTATCAAATACAATTTATTGTCAAACATGAGAAAAAGTAAACTTGGAGTAGTTGACCGATTTTCATATTCGCAACAAAAACAGAATTAGCTTTTCCCTCCCAAATACATCTATTAGAATCTTGGGACTCTCCATTTGAACTGGAGAAAAAGTGAAGAAAATGAATTGAAATGCAAGTGATTTATAGGTTGATTATGAAACATCGATCCTTGATTTGAGATTTTGGTTTCTTTTCATTCAAATTCCTAGCTTGCATATAACCTGAAGCTAAAGCAAATGGAGAGGAGCCAATATATTGGAATAATACAGAACAAAAGAAATCAAAAGACTTAGTTTATGAGAAAAATATCAAAGTGATTCTCCGACTCTTTGCATGGGCTCATTTTAGTCATACAGTCTATGAAATTGCTAATTTAATCCCCGATTTTTTTATGGATTGAAATAGACATCAGAATCTCTAAAGGAATGACTATTTATGCAGGGTGTAAACGAACCAAATATATCTGGGCTAAACTCGTCCAAAAAACCATTGTTCGTGTTCGGCTCACGCGTATTTCTAAAAAAAAAAAATACATATTTGGCTCTTTTTCTTAGCGAGTCTAACACGAGCTGTTTGCGAACAAAGAAGCGTTTTGACAAACCTAGTCATGCAACTCTTAGGGTATAAATGCGCCGAGCTTGAGCAAGCCTAGACTCGGCTTTTGTTTGGCTTGTTAAAAAATATCATTTTCGTGTATATTTCAAGCCAAAACGAGCCGAACATGAACGAACAATTTTTTGTACGTGTTTGGCTCTTTTATATATCGAACACACAAAAAATATTCATATTCGGCTCGTTTGCTTAACGAATGAATCAAACATAACTTGTTCACGAACAAGCCTTTTTGCATCCCTATATTTATGGTTTTAAATTGACTCTATTATACTCTCTGGAACTAAATTGATCACATGTTAGTAGTCGGGGGACCATATTGACACTTTACTTCTTAGTTTATTATGTCCATGCTCTTATTTGTTTTTCACTTTTCCTCTTTTCTTTTGAAGATATATCTTCCTATTTTGAAAATAACTTAAAAGAGTATAATTCTCTTCTCTGTAGGCCCAAGGAAAATCAGTGCCAGTACCTGTGAGAAATGAATCCTCAGGTGCCTTCTGTAAAAAAAATGTAGAAAAATATTTTAAGTTTTCTCTTTGTAAGTAAAAAAATAATGTTGCTTAACTTTAAGCTTACCAACAGATATTCTATTTCTTAGTCCAGTGATATTATTCTCATTTTCATTTATTTATTAATCTATTTTGTATGTAGCAGGAATAGTTGATGGCTCTTCAGCTAATGGACAACCTAAAATGGCAGCAGAGGTGTATACATTTACAAAATTAATGGAAGCAACATTAGTAAAGGTTGTATTGATCCCCAAGTGATTCAGTTGAGAAAGCCTTTGCAGGTTGATAGCGCAGGAGATGAAGAAAATTAAGATAACATCATCAAAATATTGTGGGTAAAATAGCAGTTGTGCAATCCAAAGAGGGGAATAATAAAAGATGAGAGAATGCAAATATGATTGACTAACAATGAATTTAGTGGTGTAAATGTTTTATGTTTTAAGGTAATGTTCATTATTTCTCATTTAATTAACATACATAAATTAAATATAATTTACGTGTAATTTTTAAAAATTTAAATAAAATCAAAAAAAAAGAAAAGAAAATGAATAATTTATAATATAACTAAGTATATTCTAGGACATACTCATTATTTCTAATGATATACTTCAAAATCTTGATAAAATAAATTATAGTTTATTTTCAGGTGAGTGCAATATAAAGATTATATTTGACTCAAAAAGACATCCTATTTTACACGAATCTCAAAGAAAATCTAATAACTACATTTGAGTCAAGACATTCAACACAATTTTTGGGGCCATTTACATATATACCACCCGATTCTTACATATTCATCCATTTTATCAATGACTGAAAATGTGCAATTCACTTTTTAAAAAAAAGTTAAAAAAGATCATACTTTTGACATGATATGAAAGATTTGGGGGTAGTAATGTAACAAAGTAAATTGTTGATGTTAGATATATAAATATATAGGAATTCTATGAGGTATGTATGTAAATGCCCCCAACTTTTATGTCAATACATCTTTGATATGATTTTCATTGGAAAATAAATCTCACCAAAATCCCACTTGTAAGAATAAACATTTTTGAGTCCGATGAGTTTCAAATTTTTATCAGCAAAAGCTTTACATAATTTTCAAGTTCTTGCGATCTCCACCAAGATCTTGTGCAGAGCTTGAGGCTTGGAAAAAAATGGGGAGTGATCTGAGCCTTCAAGCCTAAAAACCTTCTCCGGCGGGTTCAATTCACACAGTCTTTGTTGCAGGGGAAGAGGCAGAGCATTGTCTTCAGTAGTCTCGATGTAAAATCTCCTGACTGAGCCATACTTGATATTTGTAAGCTCGAGTTCTTCTAGTATTGGTGCAAAAGGAATAGGCCTCATTAAACCTGAAGCCAGAGTGATATCCTACATGAAAAGAGCAAAATACACTTTAGGATCAAGCTATAGTTATAAAAACAAGAAGAGAATCGTTAGTAACAAGGTTTAGAAAATCGGACTGGACTGGCTGCTTTGACCGCGAATTGGTGGCCAGCTGGGTTTTAATCATATACTAGTATTACAATAAAGTACTTTTTACCATTTGTATGCTCTTTAATTGCCTATACATAGGCACTTTTATGCAAAACAAACGTTTACCTTAACACTAACTATACAGAAGACAAGAAAATAAATAAAATAAAAAATGCTGCTGATCGCAAGAACAAAACATACCATCGTAGGGCTTTGATTAAACAAAAGATCTTTTAATAATGATGTCTCGAGGCAAATAGCTGTAGGAGTTTGATCTTTTCCATTTGCATGCAAAAAGATTTGAGCTTGTTGCATCAATTCATTGGTAGCTTCCTATTGTCAGAAAAAAATGGATAGCAGATATGGTTAGGAGTTATCAGCAATCCATGTACCTCACAACAAACTACATTTGGTGAAAATGACAAGAAATTTCTATATATATATATATATATGTATTATAAACATACCACACAATTTTCATTTATTTATATATCTAACACCGAAAGTTTGATATTTACATTCATAACTCTTTGGTGTTATAAAACTATGCGTGAAAAAGGTGTATTTTACTATAAAAAAGTTAATAACAGCAGTATTTTTGATGTGATGTTAAAGATTTTAATGGTATGCATGTAAATATTACATTTTGTGTCAAATATGTAAATATATAAGAAATTGTGTGGTATGTATGTAAATAATGATTAGTAAAAATGAATTGAAACCTCTTGAGAGAGCATGTCAACGGTTCTTTGGCCATTTTTCAGCATAAAGGCAGCAAGAAAGACAGATTTGGCAATCTTCGCCGGAAATGCTTCCATGGCATATGAGATGCATGTACCACCAAAGTCATGCCCAACTAGGATCACCTGTTAAAAAATGCTTGAGATTAAAATCCAAGAGAATACAATTTTCAAGTTCAGCAAGATCATCTATGCACCCAAAACAAGAAGTGAAGGCTACAATGGTGCGAGGCAAAGAGCACCCATTTCAGAAAAAGCATTGTAATAATCCCCCAACTCTTCGCGGGGGAATATTTTAATCCCAAAAGTTATAAAAACATCAATTTAATCTCCAAACTTTTTAATTGGTGGCTAAAATAGTCTTCCCTGAAACTATTTTAGCCCATATTAAAAGAGTTTATGGATTAATTTGATATTTTTATAGACACTAAGACAAAATGCCCCATGTAAAAATACTCGGGGGATTATTTTGACACTTTAATCGATAAGATGAATATTAGAAAGATATAAAGTAGTGTTGAACTAAGTAGATTCTAAAATGCCGAAACACATGAATAATAGAAGATATTCAATCTTAATTTAGGAAGAGGAGAGCATACCTTCTCAATACCACCCAGCTTTTTAAGGAAAGTAATCAATGGATTTAAGTATTCGGAAAGACTTGTAATGTTGTTAGCATCGACGGAATGAGTTACAGATCCAGCAAGGTTTATTGCAGTGACCTCAAATCCAGCATCCCCCAAAAGCGACATAGTCTTATACCAGCACCATCCACCAAAACCACCTCCATGCACAAGAACAACTTTATTTGTTTCTAAATCTTCTACTCCTCTTTCCTGCAAAGGTATCATTTAATAAAACAGAAACAACAATGCAGCACCTTTTAGGAAAAAGGATTGCGTCAGAAAAAGTAATTTTCCAGAAAGAAAAAAGATGAAAGAATTCAGAATGAGACAGACAGCATATGCATTCACTTTTTAGATATAGATGATTTTCATCAAAAATGGATAAATTTGCCTTCTTTCATAGGAAAGAAAAAATATAGGGTGACATATCTTTCTATGACTAAACATACCAAAAAATGTTAGAAAAATCTGAACCTGCTATATATTTATCTACCTTTAGAATGTCGAAAAATTTGAGAAGATTTAGTGTTTTTTTCTCAATTCACCTTCAAATATAGGAATATTTATCCAAAGGACCTAAATTTTAGAATGTTATTAAAGATGCAAGAAATTAGGATTGATTCCATGCATAAGGTTAAATTCTTTAAATTTTGAGAATTTTTAAAGAATATTCAAAATAATAATAAAAAAACAAATAATACTACTATAGATGATGTTAAATATGAAATGCCATCAAAGCTACATGAAAAAGCCTTGCCATCATATTTTCTTCTTCAAAAGGGAAGCATCGATGGATGAATGTGAGACTAGGAATCAGTGTCAATCATGTCAATGTTGTCCTTTATTAAGCTACTACTTCCTTTTCGATGGAGAGTTGTGACACGATAAACCACTTTTCAATGGAGAGGCGTGACAAGATAAACCACTTTTCGTATTAAGGAGTGCTCAAGGAACCTCTACTTGGCTGATGGATCGTTAAAAAACCTTAAAAAATATTCCTATAACTCTTTTTGATTTCGTTGTAGACTCGTATTGTAGCCTTGTCATAACATCTATAAGTTAGCTATGGATCAATTGAATATTGGTAAAAAAAAAATGAAATTGATTTTGCATGGAAAATATATTTAAAGATAAGGCTTTAGGTCCAATAAGAAGACAACGATTGAGATTTGGAGAATTATGTGGCATAATATAGTAGTTTAGTCAATAGAATTTTGATATCAATTTTTAATAGCAAAAAGGATGTTTAAGATTGTGCATCCCATAAAGGGGTCAAATTTATGAGTTATAAATCAAAGCTAATGGAGAGTAATGGAACATAGACTTCGGAAAGTTACATGAGTTTTGGAAAATCAATTTGGTTTTATTCTAGGAAGATCCATTACGAAAGAGATTTTAGTGTAAGACAATAAATGGAGAGGCATAAAGAGCAAATAAATGATTTACATGTGATTTTTATTGATCTTAAAAACCTATAATTGAGTATCACCTGAATTGTTGTGTGTGTGTTTTAAGGTAGAAAGGTGTATCAAAGATATTTTGACTTTTTAAAAGATATGTATGTTGGCGCATAGACTTCTATTAGAAGTTATGGATCAGGCATAGAGTTTTCAATTATTTTAGGTCTACATGAATGATTAGCAATAAGTTCATATACTTTATATCAACCATGGAGATACTTATAAAGGATTTGCAAGGACTTCTAATGAATGATTTTTGCGGATGATATTATTTTAATTGTCGAGGCATCTATCAAAATAAGTGAAAAAATTATTAAAATATTTTGAAGTTAAGAGACCTCTGAATTAGTATAATATAATATGTAATTTTAATGGATATCATTTTAGCAAATAATTTCTTATTATTATATTATAATGTACTATCTAAACATAATATGTTTAAATGTATTGGATCTATTATGAGGATATTGATTAGGATATAATTTCTAGATTTAAGGCTTGATATTTAAAAAGAATAAGTGTCTCAAAACTTTTATGTAATTAGAGGACATTAAGGAGGCTTAAAGTTAATTTTTATATAATTGCTACTAGGGCGACGATGTTGCATGGGTTTAAACATTAGCAATGAAAAATTCATTGATATTTGAGCGTGTAATGAATGAGAATGTTAAGATGATTATGTGACAGTTATGAAGGATAAATTAATGAAAGAGCATATTAGAGGAAATATTAGACGTCTATTAAAGATAAGGTCATTGAAAATATAATTATGTAATTTCGACATGTATAATGAACGATAGAAAGTTTACTTGTTAAAAGGTTTAATAAAGTTAGTATCATAGCATTGGAAAAGAAAAGTGGTGTATGAAGTTAAATGGATAGAAGTTGTTCAAATTGATTTGTGATGAATATATTTAACACCTTAGATAGCCATCAATAGAAATGAAAGTAAGATGAGGATTCATAACACCGTTTTAGTACTAAGGAAGAGGCCGATGATGATGATGATGATGATGTTTAATTGACCCTTTATTGAGAAAACAATTATTTTCATACATTGGTAGGATGAATTTGCTAAGTTGGGAACTCGGAAGCCTCCGTTTTCTAAATTGCATTTCCATTTCTTAAAAAGGGATCGATTTCTTTAGCTAGGGATTTTGTTTGCTTTTATTATGCTAGTATATATGCTTTGGTGGATGTTATTTAGTTGTTGGTTACATAACAAAACAATTTTTTTTCTTAATGTTTCCTATGCTATAAAGTTTCAAAATCAATTGCAATGCAAATAAGATTCTTATTAGCTCTCATTGATATATATTTAACTTGAGATGTTAGTAGTTGAATGACGTTTACGCTACACTATTGTGAAAGCTTTCTTTGTATGGTATTATTTTCCACAAAACAATGAACGTAAAATAGAAAAAAGCGTAAAACTAGAACATTCTAACGGATAGTGAAAGTTTGAACGCATATACACTTCTCTATTAACAATACAAACACATAAAGCCCTCAAACTCAAAATAATTCAGGCATCAGAGTTTGAGATTAAAATCACCTTCCCCGCAGTAGAACCAGCTATTTCACCCAGCCTGATATCTGTGAACAAGTAAAAAGTCCATTTTTTAATAGATTGACTAAGAAAAAAAGCAAACTCCAATGCTAAAATGATAAATTAAAACAAGAGATTCATTAAAAGAGCTAAAAAATTTTCATTTTTCAACAAAACTCTAATTCAAACTGTTTAGAGTCAACCTCCACAAGAAGTAGCCACATCCTCAATGGGATTTCCATGGTTCATTTTTCTTAGTTGTGCTGCCTGATCAGGTTCTTCATCTTCCTCGTCAGAAATAATCAAACGAACACGCTTCCGACCAAGAGATTGGAGGTTAACATCATGATCGACTAAATCTCTATTCAAACGCTCGCCCGAACTATCTGACATTTTGGCTTTCGTGTTTAATGAAGACATCTCCATCTTGGATGATTTTTTGCTTTTTTCAATGAGCATTCTTAAAGGAACATCAACATCAACATCATCACCAGTGGCTAAATTTGGCTTATCCTCAAAAATTGAAGGATTATTAATTTCCAATGAATCAGATTCATCGGATGAAAGAAGAGATGCAACTACGCCCTCTGTTTCAGTTTCAGAACAGTAATCTTGATCCACTCTCATCAACAACTCGCCTCCATTCAGTAAACGCTCAACATTTTGAATCTCAATATGTAATTTTCTGCTTGGCACAAACACAATAAAGGGGTTCAAAATATAAGGGCAAATTTACAAAGTCCCAAATGTCACCAAGCATACCTTGTTTCGTCGACATTGTCAAATCTGATCATATGACTAAAATGCATATTCTGAAGTGCAGATAGTTGTAAAGATGGTAAGTTTGCTTCAACTGATATTCTGCATGAAAATAAATCATCAAAGATGCAATTTACCATTCAAAGGATAAATAATTGACATTTTGCACTCTTGAAGATATACACTGCCAATTTAAAAAAAAATCTGTGCAAATTCCACAATGCACTTAAATCACCTATAACCTTCCTTGAATGCCTCTAGTGCCCCAACCCAGTCACCGGAAGAATCCAAAACCTCACCAACATTAATCTTGGCTAATGCCTGCCCCTGAGGTTCTCATAATCATAAAATAAGATTCAATAGGATTCTAGTAAATGAAACAATCCTGCACATTATAAGAAAACATATATTGAAAGATACATATCATGTACGATACCATACAAGCAAGCCGTCCAGTTTTATTAGCCACTTAAGGATTGAAACAAGCTTTGCAACCCCCAAAAATATAAGATCCAAAAGAAAAGCGTAATGTTACCATTATCGATAAAAAAAAGAAGCCATGCAAAGGCTGTTTGGTGTTTAGACTGCAATATTATTGACACGGTAGCCGTTACAGTAGCCACGGTCTCCATGCAAATGTACCCCTTTTTTTGTCATTTCTTTTAATCTTAGATAACTTTGTATTCAGTAGTTGCTAAATTTGATCAGCACCATAGATCATTAATTGGCATCTACTAATAAATCAACATTAAATAACCAATCCCAGCAAGCCAAAAAACCCCTTAATAAGCACATTTAGCTTTTAAATGAAACAATTTATCTTAAAAACTTCATACACGGCTGGACTACATGATTCAAATGCTCAATATAAATATCATACCTGAAGGTTACCAATAGATCTGTAAGCATTCCAACTTTTCATATACCATTTGAGTGCTTTACCAAAGTTTCTAAGTTTCTGGTAAGACTCTCCCATAACCAGAAAAGAATCACCGAGTTTTCCCTTGTCGCAAAGCTCAGTTGCTACTCTTTTCTTCATTTTTGCAAATTCTTGATGCTGTTAATTAAAATTTAAAACATTAGCCCAATAAATTTTGATATAAATATGATATTAAGACAGAAGATCAAAATATAATTATATGGAAAAACTACCAAAAAATGCAGTTACAAATCACAAAATCAAAATTGAGTTTTTTCTTTAAGAAGATCATGGGTTCAATTCAGACAGAACTATTAAATCAAGTATTTGTTAACAAAGGAAGGCTTTAAGCAATAGTTAGATTGCCTTCATTTATTATGTGAAAGACGTTAATTAGATCTTCTCCAACTTTCCATGCCTACAAGTACTTTTATTTACAAAACTGATGATATAGTTGGAGGTTTCCACAGAATCGCAATATGCAAATCCACTTAATAAATATTAGAAGTATTGGGCTCAAAGAAAACGAACTAGGTGTAAACCCATTAAGATAAAGGGAATAAAGTTATGTATATTTTAATTCATAATACGAAAGAAATATAGCTTACCATTTTCCCTTAAGAAGAATTTGATCATTACCAAGATCATGATGTAAATACCAAAAGCAATATGACTATGGCAGTAATGATCATTACCAAGATCATGTGGTAATTACCGAAAGCATTATGACTATAGCAGTAAATGCAACTTGAATTTCCACCCTCCTTGAACAGGCATGAGACAGAAGATAAACAAAGACACAACATATTTTACTTAGCGTTTATCCTGATCTTGTCTGATCTTATAAGATGGCGAAACTTACAACTTATGCAAAAGTATAAAAAACATAATTTGAGTTTTCTTTTAGGAGAGTTGAAACATAGAGCTAGAATATGCTATTAATTGTTACGATTGCTGGTCAATAACATCAATTAATCTTCTCAGAAAAATATAAAAATCCTTATTTCCATAAAGAATGGCTCTCGCAATTCTACTAACTTACAAAGAATAACTGCCTGACACCTTCAAAAGAAAAACAAGCAGAGAGATAAAATTGAAGTATAAATACCAAACATACCTTCGTCCATGCAAAAATCAACATAGATTTTTCAATCAAACTATCCAAGGAAACATATTGCTCTAACAAAAACTTCCTTTCATTTGCCGTTCCACGAGCATCACTCGTGGCCCTCTCCAATCTTTTGAGTTTTTGCTCGTCTTTTATCAACAACTCTAACACCTTAGATGCTTCATTTACAGTTTCAACATTCTGAGAAATAAGATCTACTAAGGAATCCTCATTCTTCATTCTTTTCGCAATATCCATCGCCTTTTGATAGCAAAGAATGGCCTCGTCATGCTTTTGCACTCTGTAATGCAGTTCACCAAGGTTGATGACCCCCTTCACTTCATCTTGGGTATGCCCGATCCGTTTACAAATTAAAACTTCTATCTCGATGTGGTTCTTAGCCTTATTCCATTCCCTCAGTTCTAAATATACTTTTCCAAGGTTATGATGAAGCTGAGCGCGTCCATCATCATATTCATTGACTTCCTCTTCATCACATATCCTTAAACCCTTGAGAAGAATTTTCTCAGCTTCCTCAAGATTATCGACATCCATTTCATGCATGCCGATGTTATTAAGTGCAATGATATATTCTTTTAGGAAGAAACTATTTGTTTTGGGGGGAGGGTTTTGCTTGAGAGACAGAGCTAGCTTCATAGCCAGCTTGAAGTATTTCTTGGCTCTTCTTTTTGCATGGTGATCACTTTCTGATCTTAAAAACAATTCATGGTAAGTTCGGCCAAGTTGTGTGCCTGCTCTTTGTTGTTCGATAATGTCATTTGTATCATTGGCAAGCTCAAAATGTTTTTCCTGCAATACATGGAAATTATAAGATAAAAATTCAGTTATTGAAACTTTCTTATAGAATATAAAAATAGGTATTTCACTAAAACCTATGAGATGGATGTAATTAAAAGGACAATATTTTGCAATATAGATCAAAAACATAAGGACAATATTTTGCAATATAAATCAAAAACATAAGAAGGCTAAACTATGCAAGCTTAAATCTCCAACAGGCTTAAAAAAATATACAGCAGAATGGATAGAATCAGAAAATTAACTTCAGAATCCTCCTACCAAATTTCATATATGCAAGTGATTCCTTGCTAGAAAGATGTTGTCCGTCTGAAATGGATGTTTTTAAAGCATTTAATAAATATACGGAATTGCATCAAATTCTTCATAAAGGTTTCAAATTTCAAAAGTAGAAAATTGGATGTGATGGGATACAAAATCCAATTACAATATTTACAGCTTCAACTAGCTAAATGGTGGATCTTGGCTAATCATTATGTAACAGAGGTTGTCTTTATAAAAACGACCACACTGTAGCTATCGGAAATGAACTTCTATCTAGGAACTTGGCAGTAACATCTATAATCAAATTTACAACGAATTGTGCAGAAACCTTTGGCAAATGCATATGCATAAATTATTTCAGTTACAACCCTTTAATCTTTTTGGCCCAACAAAAAAGAAAAATAAAAGCTAATAGCCGTTCGGAATCATTTTTTTAATATACTTTTTTTATTTAAAAAATATGTCAGTTCCCTTAAAAACATTGCTGTAGCAGCAGTAGTGTAACAGCAACCACCGACACCACTGCTGGGAATAGATGTTTTCAACAAAACTCAAAACACCTAAAATAGTACTTCCCAATTCTTTTTCTAAAAACCAACTCATTTGTTTTTATTTTCTAATAAAAACATTAAAAAAAAGTGACCCAAGCAGGTCCTAAGATTTTGGCGAATTGCTATTTGGCTACAAAGACTAGCAAATCAATATCCATTAATTCTCTCAAACTCTAAATCTGTGTAGAGGCTAGTAAACACTACTTACAAACACTCAAACATAGAGAGTAAATTAAATCTTAAACAATTATAACTTGATAGAGGAGTGCTTCTTCAAAGCGCTCTAGCCGGAGGTAGAGATCGCCAAGCGACTGGCATGCAGCAAGGAGCTGCTTCTGAGGAAGATACCTAGCTGATACCTTGTAATCGATTAGAAGCCACCTTAGAGCCTCGACGTACTCTCCCCTCCTCTTGAGAAGGTCTCCAATCATGTTTGCATGCCGCGCCTCTTTTTCGTGGTTCCCATCCCGAACCGCTTCTTTGTATCTGAGCTTCGCCGCTCTGATATCATCGTCTTCTCTTCCCATTCCGTTCCGGTAACAGTGAAAAGGCGATCTTTCGCCTTCACCGGGTTTTCAGAAAGTATCTTCCTCAAAGGCTAGGGCTTCGACAAGGCTCGTTTACACAATTACACCCCTAAGAATCAGGTGATATTTATGAAAATCTCCAATAAAAAGCATATTATTTAGATATTAGATAAATAAATATAAAAAAAAAGTTTCTGCTTATCGCGTATTTCGAGCTCAAAAAGTGTGTTCGTGTTTGACTCGTTTGCTTAGCAAGTCGAACACATTCCTTGAAAGTCAAATGAATTCACAAATGCATGCATAACTTTTAAAGGTAACATGCTTCAGGATTCAATATACTTTCCACCTGCTTACCAAAGATAATAGAATGCTTCAGGATTCAATATACTTTCCACATGTTTACCAAAGATCTATATACTTTCTTACCTTACAATAATTAGTAAACAAAACAACCACCTACAATGATAGAATGCTTTCAGGATTCAGGCCTTATAGTGCCACATTGCAACAACTGCATGAATTGGTAATGCCACCTCAATGCTCATAATATCAAGCATTGTAAATTTAAAAATCATCACATATGCTTTTAACCCATCAATTAATTATGTAACACATAAGCACACCTATCCAAATCTATACCATCCGACATTTGCATGCATACAACCCAATTCTTTGTCATTTACAAATGTAGTAAAGATCTATAACAGTATCAAAACAAGAGGCACTAAACATCATAGGCAACTTTATATATTGTTATCTCAAAAAAAACTTTACAAAAATAGATGTGACTATTTTTGTATTCTTAAGTTTTCACAAATTCGTCCATAAAAAAAGAAAAAATTATGATCTAAAGGCTAGGGCTGTCAACGACAGCAACGCCTAAACCTGTATGAATCGCCGCACAAATACACTATAGCCGAACTAAATTTCATAACACTCTTATATCATATCTCATTCATAAAAAAATTGCAATATGCGAGATTTAGCTGCTACAACCCTAAAAGGTTAGGTTTCATTCAAAAAATCTCTAGGTTTCATCAACCCTAAAAGGCTAGGTTTCATTCAAAAAATCTAAATAAATCTAAAAGAAATTTAAGAAAATTTAAGATAAGAGGCGATCCCGAGAATAGATATGAAATATTAGAGAAAATATACTCAGAGATGACTCCTAGGTAGCCAAACAAACAACCAATGAACCAAGCAAGAATATCGAGCAACCACGCAAGAATAGCGAGCAAACGACCCAAGAATATCGAGGAGAATAAAAGTAGATATTAACAGAAGAACACGAACGACAAACCCTAAGCCATTGTGACCAAAAAGGAAAAGGGAAAGGCAGCCGAAACGGAGAAGGATCAACAGGCGAATGGGGATTGGGGAGGGTCGGTTAGGGTCGAGTATTAGATATATTATATTATATAACTTATATTATATTATTATTGGCTCGTTAAAATATAAAAATATTATGATAAGTAATTTTTTTAAATAAAATTAAAATAATATATTTTCTAAAAAAAGGTTTTTTAAAAAATAATTAATTATAATTTATAATATTGAATTTTATAAATTTTTATTTTGTATTCCTTATTTATTTATTTTCGAACCAATTTGAGCCAATCACGAGCGAACAAACAATTATTCGTGTTTGGCTCGTTTACATTTCAAGCTTAAAAACTTGTTCGTGTTCGGCTCGTTAGGCTTAACGAACAAACCGAACGCGACCTGCTTAACGAGCCGAACTAGCAGCAGTTCGTGAACAAAGAGCCAAATTGACAACCCTATTAGATCTAGGGCTGTCAAAAAAGCTCGTTGTTCGTGAACAATTCGTGTTCGGTTCGTCAATGAGTTCGTGTTCGATTCGTTCGATAAGTAAATGAGACGAACGTGAACAAGCTCTTTTCGTTCAGTTAGTTAAACGAACCAAACACGAACAGTGATGGTTCGTTCGTGTTATGCTTTCGTTCGTGTTCGAATCGTTATTGTTCGAATATAAAATAATTTAAAATAATTATATATATAATAAATTAATAATAGTAATATACTATTATACTATATTAGCAATATACTAAAATAGATATTATATATTTATATAATATATGTTATATAATTAATATAATATAATATGTAAGTATAAAACTAAAAAAACCCTAACTCGTTACTCCTAAGCCCCGACCGACGACCTCTCTCTCAAATGTTCTTGGGTTCGGCTGCCTCTCCCTCTTCCGACTCTTCTCCTTCCTCTCAAAATCGCGAAACACGCTTGGCCGCAAGAGCTTAGGGTTTGTCGTTTGTATTCGTTGCTCTCCTCCTCTTCCGAGTCCTCTCTTCTCAAAATCGCGAAATGGTTTTGGCGGCGAGAGCTCAGGGTTTGCTCTTCCGCTTCCTCTTCCGAGTCATTTTCTTCTTCCGATTCCTCCAATTTCAAGCCAAACTCGAGCCCGAAAATATTATTCGAGCCGGACACGAACACACCCATCACGAGCCATTTCGAACACGAGTCGATTTCGAACACAAGCCAATATCGCA